TTTTATAAGTTTCATTTATCTTAAAACTTGAATTTAGTGTTTACTAAAACTATTTCGAAGTAAAGTAAAAGAATGAATAATTTTGGGAATTTAATCAAATCTTCTTAGTTAGATTTATGCTTGAACAAAAACATAGTCATAAACAGCGACACGAGTCGATTGTTTTCTTTTCTGTGCAATGGTATTCGATATTTAAGATTAAATTATTGTGACGGGCGGAAAACATAACCATCATATAGAAAAGAAAAGCAATCTGGTTGTTCTTTATTAAATATGTTAAATTTATTTTCAATGACTTTTAGATTGCACAATTATTAGTTAGTTATTCTTTAGAGATCATAGTCAATATCACCTGAAGCCTCGACCAACGGCTCTATTTCAAATTCCACTACTATTGATATGTCTAACGTTGATGTGAAAGTTGCGATGAGTTCATATCGTTTAAGCCGTACAACAATTGGCACAAAGTATATCTTGGACCATGTATGTGTTTTCTGCTGGACTTTATATTCAAAGAAAAAACCGACATGTGTGCTCAATCATTACTCGTTTCCCTTTAATGAAACTAGTATGAGCCCAAATGAAATATTAATTTCTCTTTTTGTTTCGAAACATCTTGATTTTAGGCACATTTTAAGAGAGAATGTAATCGATTATCATACGTGTCCTCTTGAAAAAAAGATTTTGGCTAACGGTGAAGATAAAGAATTACTAATATTAGATGGCAGCTATATTTATATACAAAAGAAGTGCACATCACATGCTTTTCAACGAAAAACTCGTAGCACACATAACGGTACACTATTTGGTAAAAACCATGATGATGGTTTCTACTGATGGCTACATAATATCAGTGCTGAATCGGTACTCTGCGGACTGTATATAAGAATAACGATGATAAGATAACGAAAATTATAATTCATAACAATAAAGAGCACGTCCGCTATTGGCTGCAACCTAACGACAGATTGGTCGTAGGTTGTAGTTCTCATGATGTACTTAAGGATTTACACAATTTTAGTTATTAAACAAAAATGTCCTGTTTCCTTGGTATAACCAGAATTAATTTACTACATCAGAAGCAAACCAAACTCGTTGTATAAAAAAATCAGATGGATAATCGAATCTACTAATGGCATAATTAAACAATCACGTCTTATCAACAAAATCGTATCCACCACTATGTTAAAAAACATAAGAGACTATTTTTCTACCGTATGTGCATTAATTAACGCCTCTCGACCATTGTATAATGGTGTGTATTATTGAATCATCAATTTTACATAAAAAACCGTTTCTTTTTAAGATTAATGATGCATAATAATTATATTGTTCCTTTTAGTTGTATTAAACTATAATCGAATCATTTGTCTTTTTTTGCTTGTTTTAGTAGACAAAATAAGGTGTGTTTGTTTATTGGTTAAAAATGAATTTTGTTGTGGAATTATTATTCAACTAGTTACTTCATTTGTACAAATATGAAGTAAAATAAAGCTTCATTTTCTTTATTGTAATAGTTATTAGATTAGCTCAAACTTTCTTATAATCAGAGAAAGAAGAATGTAGATGAGCTTCTTTTTTTTATAAACAATATTTTACATATAGAGGGACTTTTTGGCCTTTCTAACGACCATTTTCAACCATGTAACTGTTGATGGAAAGGAACAGTACAAGAACACGAACATATATAGTTTTAATATATCATGAAAATCTTAGTATTATAAAGGGTGTGGTTGTGATTGTTCGAATCTTCTCTTCATTCTCACTCGCAATTGTTAGTATTCAATTCTCAAGGCGACCAGATTTAAATAAAATTTTATCATTATCAGTTTAATTAACATTAGGAAGTTTCTGACGAAGACTTTTTTCATTAAACTTGGTTCATCAGCTGTATCAAGTATGGACATAGCACTATCGGTCAAACTAAGTGTACAAAAAAGCTAGTTAGAATCAGTGAAAATTATATTTTTTTGGTTGATCGACAATATTAGAATAATTCTTGAATATTACGATGACAAATATTTGAGCAACTTTTAAAAATGATTGAAATTGAAATTTATGAGCAAAATAAAGTTCGTTAAAAACAAAATAGTAAATTGACTGACTAGTAAAAGCAGTTCTTTGCAATTTGTGTTCATTTCTACTTGCTTGACATAAGCATCAAAAGTTACATGTTCCATCGCGATAATTTCAGAAATCTACAGTAAGAAAATATTCGTTCGAACGTGAATATGAAAGCTCATGGTCGCATCAATAGAATTTGTTTTCTGATGTTTAGTATGGTGTGCCATTTTCATACAGAAAGCCATGCAAAAAAGTAAATTTTTATATACTTTGTTTTTCTTTCAAGCTTCAAACAAAATTTAATGGCCACTCTCTTTGCTTATGGCTACGACAACTGTGAATACAACTGATGATAGACAATGAATCAGAGAAAGATTGAATGAATTGATCGAAAGTATTCCTTAAAATCATATTCTCTTATCAATGAATTTCGCCATGGCTATTTTACAGTTTCTTTCTGACTTCGATCATCTGTTTAGTCGAAATCTAACTGTTCAAATTTATGCCGATAAAATAGAAGCTCTGATTCTAGTGCAGCATGATTATCTTTTGGAGAAAAGTGTTTCATATTCAACCGTCCTAACGATTATTTCTTTTGTAGAAAATATTGATTTATTCATCTATCGACATCGGAAACTTTGCATCGCATTTTTCAGCCGAGTGAAATTCGAAGGTCTTCTAGGTTATTTTCGTTTTCAGGCTTTGTATTGCTTCGCTTGTAAGAACGAGTGAATTTCTACTTTTATTTTTGAATTTCATCTTTTCAAGAAAATAAATTTCGTTAATGAATTCACAGAGACTCACTAAGAATATTGTCCTTCACCGTTTACAATCTGTTGCCTAATAATAGGTATATTATGTCGTGTTTCTGCAAAGAGCAAGAAGAGCATGTATCTAGTTAAAAGTTTGCTAGATGTGAATATGTAACGTTCATGAGACCTGGTTTCCTCCCTATTTCTCTATGCCAATTGGAATAAAATAGACTTATGATATGTCGTAGTTGCAGTATTGAATAAAAATTCTATAATAGTACCTCCTTCTCACAATAATAAAGAATCCCAAGTTTCTATTATATCTAAGCGAACAAATCTTTTAGAGAGATATTCTATACGATTCTGCATTCTTTAATTATTAATAAATCAATTTAGCTTCAATATTCATTGATCATTAGCTCAAAATCCTGAAAACAAGACGAATTTCTAATTAAATTAGCTAACTAAAGTTCCAATGTCTTAATCACTTAAATAATTAATGAACGATGTTCTATTATGTTTGAGATATTGCTCCGTCAGAACTTTCTTCTGTTATCGAGGGATAGTATTTTCAAAGAAAATTGACATAGTTAGTCATGGTGTTGAAGATTTATTTATAATATCTCAATAATCAAAATCATAAATATTGTGATCAGTTAGCTTACAATGTGTGAAAATCTTCAAGACTTATTATTAACGAAAATAGATATGAAATGATTCATAATAACAATATTGAGCATGATTCGAGAATGATTTAATGGGAAATTCTGTCAAAAAGAGAAAATGAGGGCTTAGAAGAAGAACTTAGAAGAAGAAATAATCTGCCACTATTTTTTTTTGCTATTTATATGTCCATGGTTGTATCAATAAATATATGAATGAAGTAAATAAATCAAGAATATAATATTTGAAGATCGATCAATATTTATCACCTTTGCTTATAGCAAAAACAATACGACGAAGAAAGAGCTATAAAAAATAGTCTATCATATTTATCGTACACGTTAGGTAAGACAGCGTTAAAAACAAATTACAAATACTCATTAGTACATGATTGCTTTTTTATTCGAACAAAATACACTCAACAATTAATTCAGCTTCAAAAAATAGATCCTTACATGTGAATGAAATAAAAATTAATCCATAGCACAGACATTCATCTGACTTCAATGCACAAAAGCATATCTGAATATTTATTAGAATCGAAATTAAAAAATAACAAACGCTAAAATTTGTATGATACTTTTCTACGTTCGTTTCGCTGTATTTTAGTTATTTACAGTGGAAATAAGCATGTATGAGCTCTACTCTCTAAACTCAGTTTCAATTTAACAAAACATAATTTTTCTCGGAATCATCTTGACAACATTATATTTTATTTTTGTTTTTTGTATAATTGAAAAATAATCTTTGATTACATAATACGCTGTTTGTATGCAACGTATGTAGAAAAAAAGCCACTATATTTTGCACGTAGGGGTTACGAATCAGTAAAGTGCATATTCTTTTTACATGCTGTAGGAAGGTGAGAGTAAAATATCAATATGTCTTTACTTATCTTGATTAATGATGTAACAGTATTGAAAAAATTCTATCAATTTATAAAGTTGCATATATTTTTTAAAATAACAGATATAATTTAGCAAATCAACAAAACAATAACTTCTTTTCAATAAAAATTTTAACTTGAAATCAGTTTTATGAAAAGAATTTGGTTTGTTATTGTTGGATAATTTTGTTTTTCTCGAATATAAATTATGTATCACTATATTCATTGCTTCTACAAGTAAATAACAAAGCGATGCTTGACTGAAGAAATTACTTGATACTTATTTTCACTCGATATATTTTTTTCTGATAGATTGAATAAAGCGTTTCATTGATGATAATTGGTGATTGCGTTGATGACTGCTTATATTCTGACGTCCTAATACTTCTAGGCCGTTCTTGGTCGATCTCACGTTGCGTACTCTTATGTTAGAGGTAAACATGTTGTCAACGAGAAAAAAACTTTCTTTTTGTCGTTTCACCTGTGTGATAAGTTTCTTGATTCATCAGCTTGATATATAAGCTGGTCTTAATAATTACATCCAAACCAGTATTTTTTTGTGTACAGAAATACTAATCCTTACGATAATGTCGACAAGGAAACAACGGGCCAGAGAGGCCGAAATTGCTATAAATATGAGACAATCAAATCAATTTCGTACAAACGAAACACCTAACGTGAGAATATTCTAAACAATCTTTTTTTCTTTCAAGCTAAAAAATTTTCTTTGTAGTTACCAGAACCACCGCCACCTTACAATGAAGTTTTCAACGATTATGAATATGTCACAGAACGTCCATCACAAAGATTAAGATCGCAAAATAACAATAATGGTGATTTTGTTAAGCCTGAATTACCTGAATTCTTACAAAATATGGGTCCTGGTCTATCACCATTGAAAGAAAATCCACCGGTTACATTATCTTGGTACGATGTTCGAGCAACAGCATCTGCCAAACAAAGTTTTATTAAACAAAAAATTAATAAATGTTTAGGTAAAGAAATTCAAGGACCCAAAGAGTTATTAAAAGGAGTTAGTGGTATTGTTAAATCGGGTGAGATGTGTGCCATCATGGGAGCTAGGTATGAAACATCTCAATAAAAAAAAACAATAGACTGTAATATGTATATTAACATTTCTTTTTTTATTTTATTCAATTAGTGGTGCAGGTAAAACAACTTTAATGAATATATTGACTCATCGTCGACCAGGTAAATTACGTATTAGTGCTGATGTTCGAATAAATGGTGAAAAAATGAAAAAAGATATATCCGGTGTATCAGGTTTTGTTCAACAAGAAGAATTATTTATTGGTTCATTAACTGTTCGAGAACATCTTCGATTTCATGTATGCATTCATTTGAATAAGACTAATATTATATATTTAGAAAATTTTTTTTCTTCTTCAAAGTCAATGCTTCGCCTTGGAAAAGAATTTACCAAAGATGAACGAAATAATCGTGTCAATGAAGTTCTTCAGTTTGTATGTAATAACAATTGAAATTATTTCAACATGTTTTTAATTCTTTAATTCTAGCTTAATTTAACTAAATCTGAAAATACAACTATTGGTATTCCAGGTATTGTAAAAGGTTTATCAGGTGGTGAAAAACGTCGTTTAACATTTGCTACTGAAGTTAGTCAAGATTTTTCATGCTTAAAAATTAAAAAGAAAATTATATGAATCATTGGTTTTAGATACTTAGTGATCCTCCATTACTTTTTTGTGATGAACCAACATCTGGTTTAGATTCATCGATGGCATTTATTATAGTACAAGCTATGCGAAAATTAACTGATCAAGGCAAAACAATTATTTTTACTATACATCAACCATCATCAGAAATATTCTTTCTATTTGACAAGTAAAGACTTGTTTTTGATTTGTTTTTTAAAAATGAAACTTATTTATTTATTAATAGATTATATTTATTAGCTGAAGGTCAATTGGCATATTTTGGTTCACTTGAAAAAGCTCCAGCATTTTTTCGACAGTATATATATACATATATTGTATAATGAAAAGATTCTTTCCTATTGTTTACATTATAATAGATTCGATTTGGAAATTCCACGTAATTATAATCCAGCTGATTTTTATATTCAACAACTTGCTATTTATCCAAAAACACGTGAACAAAATCTTGCTCAAATTGATGTAAAGATTTTCTTTAAAATTATTATTGTAAACTATTCAATTAAATTTTAGTTTATTTGTGATGGATATGAAAGCTCTCCACAATATTCACGTTATATGTCGGAAATCGTTTCCCTTCATTCATCGAATTCCGAAGATGATAATAATAATTTCTTTTCACGATTATTTAATCGATGGTATGCAGCAGATAAACAAAATGATATAAATGATGTTGATATACAACATAAACAATCATCTAGATATAAAACAAATAGTTTTACACAATTTCGTTGGTTAATATGGCGTAATTTTGTTAATTTTTTTAAAAATCCATTCGAAATTCGTCTTCGTATTATACTTGCCATTGTATGTTTGCTAATAATTTATATCATATTTCTTTGTTTTTCTTTTCGTTTTACTTATGATATTATTTATTTTTAGTTTGTCGGTGTACTTATCGGTCTCTTATATATTCGTCTTAAGTATGATCAAACAGCTGTACAAAATATGAATTCTTTAATTTTCTTAATTATTATTAATACATCATTTTCAAATATATTTGCTGTTACACAAGTAAATATTTTAAAACCAATTACAGAATATAAAACAAAAAATAAGAATAATTGTTTTTTGTCTGTAGAGTTATACGAAAGAATATCCAATATTTTATAAAGAACATGATGATGCTGTTTATCGTGTAACACCATATTATTTTGCAAAATTTATTACTGAAGTAAGAAAAATGATTCAGTCTTTGAACATAAGTAATATTAAAAGAAATAATTGAATATATATTTGTTTTCTTTTTATAATAGCTTCCTTTAATTGCACTAACAACTCTCATTCAAGTAACACTTACGTATTGGATGTCAAATTTATATGCATCAGCAAAACGATTTTTTATATTTGTTGGAATAATTATTTTAACAAGTTTTGCATCGGTTGGTCTTGGTTCAGTTATATCTGTTATTTCGGATACACCTGAACAAGCGCAAGCATTACAAATACCAATTCTTCTTCCATTGATGGTTTTTGGTGGATTCTTTTTAAATAATGAGTATGTTTGAATGTATTTTGAATAATATAAATTTTTATTGTTTTTTTCTTCGTTTGTTATGTTTTAGTTCTGGTCAAAAATGGTTAACATGGATTAAATATATTAGTTGGTTTTATTATGGTAATGAGGCATTAATTGTAAGTCAATGGGCTGATGTGAATAATTTACCATGTGAAGGTCTTGCTCCAGAACTTCCATGTTATCATAATGGTGATAAAATTTTACAACTAGTTAATTTTGATAAGGTAAAAAAACAACACGTAGTTTTGAATTAAAATATAAAAATTTTATTATTGTTTTTTTTCTTGTAGTCTCATTTTGGTCGTGATATCGGTCTTATTATTGTACTATGGTTTGCTTTACGTGTTTTGAGTTTTTTCATCTTACTTTATAAATCAAAATTTCATAAATAGTAGCTTTGCTTTTTGTATTTTATAATATTTGTATGAATTAATTTCCATTACAGCGCTTTTTTTATCTATAAATTTATTGTTTCTTTGTTCTTTTAATAATATTATTGTAAATTTTTTACTCTTATTTCGCTCCATTTGACATGCTTAATGTATGTCTGGTTGGCGATCGAAAATTTCGAATAAAAAATCCGATAATAAACAAAATTCTCAAACGAATATAAAATCTATTCAAACAGATTATTCAACAAATATATCTATATCAAAACCGATAGATACAAGAAATTCTTTAAATACAGCAATAACAATTGAAACTAGCCATAAAATTATTCCAAATGATGAAACTTTACAATTATTAAAAAATCAACAACAAACATCAATTACAAACGATACAAATAGCATGATATCACAAACATTACCAAAATTTTTTCATTTCGGTTCACCGTTAACATCATTAACAAAAAAAAACGAACAAGAAATACCTAGTGTCCATTCATTCGAAACATCGATTGAACGAGAACAAATACTTGATCGAGAATTTCAATCACTTGATATTGATGCAGATGGTTATGTATCTATAGCCGATTTGCAATCTGTATTGAAGTGAGTAGTAAATTTTTTGTGAAACAAAAAATTCATCAAAACACGTTGAACGATAGAAAAAAATTACTAAACTCATTATAAAATCTTTTTCAATAATATTTCTTTTGTCTTAAATTGGTATTCCTTGTAGCATAGATACACTCAACATTATTCTTAAACATAATCATTAAGAACAAAAGGATAGATTACTTGTATTTTTATATCACTTGCATAAAACAGACTCTACTTCATTAGAATTAACTAGGTGCATTCTTCAAATTTCTATTCAACGAAATCTCTCTAGTTAATAAATGTTCGCATTATTGGAATAAATAGCTTAGAGTCCTTGCTGAATCAAAAGATGAAGCATTTCTAGTAGAGGAACTAGTCTTTAACCTACATAGAAACGAATGATTAGGAAGTATTTAAAGGATTTATGGTCTTCGTAGGACTAAATCCTCTGACAAATATGATGGTTCAGTACAGATTAGAGAATATTAATTTAATGAAGGAGTTCCTCAAAATTTTCTGAAGCATCGAAATTGATTTTTCTTTTATGTGTATCACTAATGTGTCTTCATCCTGTCTTCTTCACTCCTTTCCTATATTCTCTATCTTGTAACATTCTGTACCTAACGGTTTCTAAGTGTTGTATGATGTTCAATTTCTCCTTTTCTTACTTCTTTTATGCCTGCTACGTTCAGTCTCGGTGTGTCAATCCCATTAGTTTTCTCTTTAATCATTGTCGCTCTATTTATATGTAAATGTAAACTCTATATACTGACAAGCCTTCTTCTAGACACTGGTTGTTCTCGGTAATAAAAAAGGGTAGAATATTAAGAGAAAAAGAATATACTATTAAAAATAATTAATAATTTTATTACTCAATAGTTTAATGAGAAATTTTCCAGTTCTTATCTTTAAAATGACATTTTATCCAATAATAAACAATTTTATTGTTAAAATTTTCTAACTATCAAAAGAGATAGTGATCGAAGTTTCGTTTGATATTGTAATTGACATATGAAAATAATGAAGAGTATGATTGCATATTACGCATGCATATTTTCATTGCATTGCGTTTAACCTTGACGAGTACTTGATAAAATTAGTACAAAAAAACACAGAACTAACGTCTTGCCGTATTTCTTTTTATGTGTTTACTGACATTATGCACTCTGTTTTCAGAACGAAAACATCATGTACTTTTTCGTGTGTAACAGTATATATGTGTAAACAAGACTATTTTTTCACCTAGTTTCAATATGAATAATAAGATGTCCGATTCTTAAATTATATAGAGAGAATAAAAAATTTGATTAATTTTTTTTTTCATTGAAGAAATTTTTCACATATATGTAATTCGAATGAAATCATGTTACGTATATTTAAAGAACTTGATATTAATGATGATAAAAGAATATCAAAACAAGAATTTAAATTATATAAAAATATTTTATTAGAACGAGAAAAACGTTTTAATCGAGCATCATTTGAAGAAAAATTAAGCTCAATATTTGCTTTATTTGATCGTAATCAAGATAATTATATATCTCCTCATGAAATTCGTGAAACAATGCATAATTTAGGTGAAAATATTGATGATAATTTAATTGAAGAAATGATGCAAACAGCTGATATAGATCATGATGGTCGAATAAGTCGAGATGAATTTGAAAAGCTTCTTATTCAATTACTTTCAAAAAAATAAACGAAAAACCATTATTTGTTGTTTTTTTTCGATATTTTATTTGACAACTGAGAAAAAAAAAAGAACAGACGACATTTGAGTTTTGTTTTGCTTTATACAACATGAAAAATCTAAATAGATTTTATATTAAAAAACTTTTCGATCAATAATAGTTGTTCGTTTTCTTAGAATATCATCGATTGTTTCATCTTTTTGATAAAATTCTTTACGTAATTCATTTAATTGTGCTTCAATTATTTCTTTACTATTATTATTAGTATTTAATGGTTTATATTCTTTTGTTGTTGTTTGTGGTAATAATTGAGTAGGCATAAATGGTGTTGAATTATTTGCATTTGCTGTTTCAATATCCATACCACGTAAACGTTCTTCTTGAAGTTCACGTTCTTTTTTATTTAATTCTTCTTGCGCTATTTGTACCTATAAAGAAAATAATATAATAAATTAAGAAAGAAAAAGATTTATTATTATTATTACTTTAACACGATTGAATAATTCTTCAAGTAATCTCATTGATTCTAATTTTCGATGAGCAATTAACATTTTTCGTTCTTCTAATGCTATTTTCATTGCTAAAGTTTTTTCTTCATGTTGACGTTTACGTTCTAAACGTTTTAATCGACGTTTCTCTTCTCTAAAATAAACAAATTTCATTAAAAATTTATCAATACATCCTATTTAAAGCTTGTTTGTGAAATTCAAATGTGTTATTTATCCTCTTCATACTAGTACAAAATACGTAAAATAAAAAAAAATCTAATAGAATATAGTTCTTTTCCGAGGATACTCGTTTGTCAGACAAACGATCTCTCTTACTAATTTGTGCATTTCGAACAGAGATCTTTTCTGAAACACGATCTAAAAGGAGTAATGAAATATATTAGGTAGAAATCTGTACCCCAACTCTGTAGATCATGACAGAAATTAGCCAGAGACCACGACTAGTTACAATATATGAACTTCTTTCTTGTTGTATTTCTGGCGGATTAAATCAAAGGAAACTAAAACAAACTCTTCCCTGGCTGCCAAAATAAAACAATATCTATGTGATCAGCAACAGTAGTTATATCATGTTTCACATTTTAATCCCGCAGAGATTGCACTGTTTTTAATAGCACTCTTGCTTTGTTGATATTCGTTCATTACGTTTCTTTGTTCTCATATCCTGTTTTTCTTTATATAACATTATTATTCTAACCATTGATTTAACTGGTGAATAAGTCTTGTGCACATACTCATTATATCTACAGCATGTCTCCAAGCACTATTATATATTTTGAGAAGTTCACGGACACTGATATTGATTATTTATCAAATTTATAATCCAGTCAATTTACACTTTAACTGTTAATCATATGACTACTGTGACAAATCACTACATCACTATCCAATCACCTTTGACATGTATTATATAACTTTTTATCTCTGCAAAAGTTAACCTATGATATTTAAAATGTTCGCAAAAATATTTCAGCTATTTTGATTTCTAGCACAGTTTTGAAATGTTCTAGAACAGTCTAATTGTCAATGCTATACAGCGCCTTGTTTTTGTTGCTAAGTAGCTTTTAGAAAAGAGTCGGACGCCTGCCCCCCATTGAGAACGTATTTAAGAATGGACAGGACCGCATAACCTGAGCTGACAACTTACACTCACTATGTTCTTCGAAAATACATATAAGTTCTACAAAAATTTTGAAAAAACCTTTATTTACCGTTGTCGACGTCGACTATCTTTAGTTATATCTTTACTTCCTGTTAAATCATCAGCTTCAGCATCTTGTAATTCAATTCGTAACCTAAAATAATGAATAAATATTTGAATTTTTTGTGACCTATATATAATTTAAAAAGTTTTATTAACCGTTCAATTTCTTTTCGACGTTCATCTTCATCTTTAAGTCGTTGAGCTTCAGCCTGTTTTAATTTATTTATTTCCATGGCTTTCATTTGTTCAATACGACGTTTTTTAATCATTCGATCAGATAAATGTCTTGTTCGATCAAAATCAACCTATAAATTAATATATTTACATATCTATACTTTATGTCAGAAATATTTTACTTTTATATTTGCTATATAAGCCGTATTTGTATCATCAATTAACATTAATTTCATATTTCGACATGCATCCATTGCTTTAACAAATCCAATATATTCACTATATTGTACATAAGCATCAAATGTTGTATCTTGTGATAGTGGAACACTAGTGCCTAATGTATTATTTGATACACGAAATGGATCAAGACATGGAATATCACAACAACGTATTTCACCAAATGTTGAAAATACTTGTTGAAGTATTTCAAGTGATGGTTTATTTTCTTTATCATCAACAGTAGTAGTTGTTGATGTTGAAGGTAGACCACTAGGACCAATAGCTGCTGCAGCAACTTGAACAGCTTGCATTGGATTTTGTTTTGCCTAGAAAATAATGTTAAATATTGATTAGAACATTTTAGAGCCAGAAGTACATATATTGTACCAACTATTTCTTAGTACAAAAGAAAATACTTTTTATAGACTAATCTTTTGACCTATAAGACTATAAAAATCATAAATTGTTCTATCTATTACCACACACCTACCCTTAGAGGAAGTACTGAGTTGAGAATACCTCTCTGTGAACTGGGACAATTTTTTGTTGAATGCACGACAAAGTATGCTCTTACTAGTTTGTACCGAGCTTCGGATCTACGTTTTTCTGTAGACTCGAGTCTAGATCTGAAGAGACTGGCAGCTTCATGCAGATTTATTCTAAAAAATTGGTTGAATACTCTAAGCAAGTATTCAGTTTTCGAAATGTCTTATACTAAAAATATTTTCATAGATTATTTCTCTGGGCATTCATAAATGCTTTAAAATCAAATAATTAGATACGAAACAAGCACACAACTACTAAAACATTCCTGGATATATCCATGGCAAAATATTGAAAATGATTTTAAAAATATCCTAAATGTTGTTTCTATTGAACAGGAAGAGCATTTTATCGAATCTTAAACCATTGCATTAAAAATTGTAACATTTCGATACATGTGTAATACTTTTATATTTAATGAAGTATTTTCTTCTACGATAAAATAATTCTTAAGGATAACTTAATTACCTGAAACCATCGAATTGGTAAACCTTCAATATGAATTGTATCTGCACGTTCACCTGGTTTTGTTTCATTCATACTTTTACTTTCACGAAAAAATGTTTCCCATTCTGTTCTTGTTGGATATGGTAATTTAGCATCAGCTGCACGTAAACGAAAGTCATGTCCTGTTGATTCCATTCGAATAAGTGTATTATCCAAACGTGTTAAACAACTACGTGCTATTGCTTTGGATTCTAATTCACCTTCAAAACGATAAAGTTCACCAGCACTTTTTAATAAACGTAAAAAAACGAATTCATCTGGTAAAATTAATTCACGTATTTTATCCATTATTTCCCATGTTGACATTGTTGCACCAGCAACACGCATTGTTGGTGGAATAGGTACACTTATATTAATACGTGCTATTGGTTTTAAATACATACGCTAAAAAGAAACAAACAAAAAGAATTTATATTGATTATTTTTTACTCAAGAAGAATTTTCTTACTAATGGTTCACATAGATCAACTCGTTCACTTAAATCTTTACATTGTATAATATTCGACATGTTTATATTTAATCTGAAAGAAAAAATTAAATCAATAAAAAAAAATGTTTTATAGATTAATTATTTATATTTATTGAGCGTGTAAAAAAATCAAAAGTTAATCCTGTAACAATGGATGAAACTTGTTCGACTTTAAAATCAATCGATTGTTCAAAACCATTTTGAAGACCATATAATAATTGTTTAGCAGTACGTCGTAATATAGGATTTTCGTCTTTAATTGCATCATCAAGTTTCGTCCATTTACAATCAAGTATTTCATTTGTATCAAAATTTATTGTATCTGTTAGAGCCGATAAACGACAAATAAAATATATATCAGAACGACCATGTCCACCTAAATCATTTAATCAATAAATAAGAATGCTCTCTTTTTTTTAAAAAATTTTTTTATTAAAAAGCGAACCTGGATATCGATGTACTTGACGGAATCCAATAATTGATTCAAATTCTAATCAAAAACAGTTTTTTAGTTATATGTTAATTAAGAATTCTATAATACAGACTCGAGTGAATACCAGTTTCTTCAAAGACTTCACGTATTGCACCATCAGCTAAATGAAAACATAATTTAAGTAGTTTGAAGAAAAAACAAGGAGATTACACCGTTGGCAGCAACGTGGACATCGAATGGAAAAATGAAACGGAGCTTTTTAAAAATTTGAATTATAACTTATACGATTTCATTAATGACCGATTTTTTGGTAAAAAAATCTTTCTCCCAGCTGTTAAGTACATTGGAATAACTTAGCCACAAAAAAAAAGGTTACATTTCAGTACTTTAAAGGAAACACATCATTTATTTGTGACAAATAAAAAAGATTTGGATACTACGTTATATATAATCAGAAACTGATTTCTGCTATATTGATTTATAAGAAAAGTTTTCGTTTTGAACACAACAAGTATTCTTTTTACGGTAACGAAAGAACTATTCCAAGTGAAACCCGCCATTTGAACTCGTATTGAACCTACAGGAAGCTGCTTCTTCGATTCATTTGTAAGCAGCTCTCAGAATATTCTGAAAATTTCAGCCGAAAGGAGTGTTCCTTCGTCGAGTTAATGAATTTTCAAAAATAATTGATTGTTACAAACATATCACAAACACCGAGTTCACTCAATAAATCGATGAAAGAACATTCTTTTTTTGGCTGAAGCTTTCAGAATATTCTGAGAGTAACTAGAATCCAGTAAATCGGTCCTAACTCAAAGCCAAAAGTTAATGGGAATAAACCTCTTTGAGACTTTTGTTAGTCTCACTCAAACCTGTATGTAAGTCCAATATGAATTTAATCGAAGACTGTCACTTGGAATAGTTCGCTTGTAAGCGATGTTCAAAAAGACGTCTTCAGTAAAGTTGGTCACCACTTTTCTACATTAATTCGTTATTTATGAAACATTTCGAGAATATTCTTCTATATCTATGATATACATTCAGTTAGCGCAAATGCTTCAGAGCTGAGATATAGGTTTTCTAAAATCTTTGATTTTTGAGGTTTTTCATAATGTTTTTGTCATAGAAGCACTTTGAGAGAAAAATCAAGTCAAATGAGTTTAGCATAACGATCTCTCTCCGAGATTTTCCATCGTAAATGGTCATCTTCTCATCAATCTGATTTTTTGAATAAAAGAAGGCAATATTTTTATGAAAAAATTCATTTTTGACAAAAAATAAGTCATGTCCACACGCTTGATAGAAATTGTGCACTATGAATTAATCTTACCAATATTTTCCGAAAGTTCAGTAGATCCTAGAAGACTATAGACATGTTCACCATTGTTAATTTTTTGAAACATTCAAAATTGAAGTGCTTACCTCCTGGTAACTAAAAGGAAAATAATGAACATCTTTATTATTGCTTATACGAGTTTCTTTTACCTTCCAAATTACTCGATTTTTAATACGTTCTTTAACAATAAGTAATTCATTTGTTGTATTATGAAGAACAGCACCACCTACTCCAACTAGATAACCAAAAACTCTAACCGATCAATAAATTTCATCAAACATTTACCTTGATGACTAAAATATAATAAAATAAAAAATATGATTCAAGTTCAAAAATCTATTCTTATATATATATATACGTAGCAAATCGTGGTATCATAGATTTTGTTGGTAATAACCATTTATTTAATACAGCAATTCTTTCTTCAGCATTGTGATAGATAAACCCTTAAAGAATAAAAACAAAAATCATTTTACGATTGTATAACATTATTTCATTACCTAATTCAGCAGCAATTGGTATTACATGTGCTTTTTCAATTGGAATCCATAGCCAAGCTGATGTACGTTTATCTTTTTGCCATTGTTCAAGTGAAGCTAAAATATATTATATATATATATTGCTATAATCATACAAGACAAGCTGAATACGAACTAGAAAGTGTGTCTCTAATGATTTTTGTATCATTTGGCCAATCTTCAATTCGAACTCGAGCACCATTAAATCGATCGATTTCATAGGGTAATATACATACTTGTGAAAATAAACGACATGGTAAAATATTCAGTAATGGTCTAAACGCAAAAAGAGACATTGGTAAATAAGTACCAATGTTTCCAATGAAAATCTAAAGACAAAATGTTTTCTTACATTTTAGTTAAAAAAGTAAAGAGTGTGTTTACATTTTCTTTTCGTTGTATCAAAGTATAGAAAAACTGAAGTTTTTCAGAATCTAAGAAATCAAAAAAGATAATTTGCTATTTTTTTTCTAATGAGAAATTTAAATTGATACTTAGAAAATAAATAAACGATAAAAACATGTAGAATTTCATTATCTGTTCTGTTTACTAGTGAAATCTCTAATTTGATACAAAATACAGTTTTAGAAGTTTTAGAATCAAAATGTAGACTTCTTCAAAATTGTGTTCTATCTCATCTTGTTCTTCTAAATAGTATAATAAAATAGCATATATATCAAAAGCAGCTGATATTTTGAATATTTTGCTTCTATTTGTCATACGCACTATTTCAGCAAGACATAGATGAATAGAATATTCATCTGTTTATGGTATTCGTCTATTCTAGAACGAAATACAATTTAACAAACAGATGTCACTTGAAAAAGTTCGATAAACCGCATTAGTGTTTCATTAAGATAAATTTTAGAAAAAAAAAGAATCGAAATATGATATATTTATTTTAAAATATATTTTTTTGAGTTATTTATAAACCAATCAATATTAAATAATCTATGTTTGTTTATTCATTATTTTAAAGTAGTTCTCTTTTCATTTGATTACTGTCAGTTCTTTTCTCTTTCTTTAATGTCATCATCAATCAACTTTTCTCTTTTTCTTTTTTTTCCTCCTATAGAAACTTCTTTTTTTGTACAAATTGCTTATTTAAGTTAATTTTACACCTGTCAAAGAACAAAATCTTATTTTATTTAGTTATAATTAATTCAATGACCACAACACCGGGAACTATTGGTCCTCATAGTCGTAAAAAAGTTTCTTACTATTATGATTATGATGTAGGAAATTATTATTATGGGTAGATAATTAAATAGAATTTAATATATTATTATAATAAAAAAAAAACATGTATTTTTTTTTTAATTAGACAAGGCCATCCAATGAAACCTCATCGTATACGTATGGCACATAATTTGATTCTTAATTATGGTCTCTATCGTAAAATGGAAGTTTATGTATGTATATCAATTAAAAATTAATTCCTTAAAAAAAAAAAAGTTCTCATTGTTTAGCGTCCACATAAAGCAGTAGCTGAAGAAATGACACGTTTTCATAGTGATGAATATGTGAAATTTATACAAAATGTTCGACCGGATAATATTATGGAATTTAATAAACAAATGCAACGATGTATATTTATGTTTTTTTCTTTTATTGACAATCAAAAACGTAGATAAATTATAAAATAATTCAGTAAAAAAAAATATTAATATATCAAGTTTCTACCTTTATATTCATATACAAAAATAAATCCGTCAAATAGAAATACAATTGTGTCCTTCTATAAATCGTTAAAAACATCATCTAATCGAAATTTGCTAAAAAAATAAAAGAAACAAATTCTGAATTATTTTCTAATTTATTTATAGCATAGTGTTTTATTTTTGTTGACTAATTAGATAAATAATATTTGTTTTAAATTTTAGTCAATGTTGGAGAAGATTGTCCAGTATTTGAAGGTGTTTATGAATTTTGTCAAATATCAGCAGGTGGTTCATTAGCTGGTGCAGTTAAACTTAATCGAAAATTAACTGATATTGCTATTAATTGGGCTGGAGGTCTTCATCATGCTAAAAAATCTGAAGCATCTGGTTTTTGTTATATAAATGATATTGTTTTGGCTATACTTGAATTACTCAAGTAAATTTATATGTTAAGAAAAAGAAACAAAATATGATTTTTTTTTTTTTGTTTTTTAAAGATATCATCAACGAGTACTTTATGTTGACATTGATGTTCATCATGGTGATGGAGTTGAAGAAGCATTTTATACAACAGATCGAGTAATGACGGTATCATTTCATAAATTTGGAGAATATTTTCCAGGCACTGGCGACCTTCGGGTAAATTAATAATATGAAAATAATAAAGAATTTTCATTTTTATTTTTTCTATTAAGGATATTGGTGCTGGTCGTGGTAAATATTATGCTGTTAATTTTCCACTTCGTGATGGAATTGATGATGATACATATGAAACAATTTTTAAACCGGTGATGACTAAAGTTATGGAAACATATCAGCCAAATGCAGTTGTACTTCAATGTGGTGCTGATTCACTTACTGGAGATCGTCTTGGTTGTTTTAATTTAACACTTAAGGGTTGGTTTTTGTTTTTCTTCAAATTATAAATATAGTTTAACCCTTTCAGTGCAGGAGACGAATATAGGCGTTTCCCAACCTAAAATAGTTCAGATCTATTGATGCGTACCATTTATCAATGATCTAGTTGACATGTCTCTATAGTTTTAATACGAGCGAGTAAATATGCGCCATACCAATCTTCGAAACATCAATAGCACTGATTAAAAATGAAAACTAATCCTTTGTTTCATTGTTTTGCTTCGAATAAAAAAAAAAACAGAATCTCGTTTTTGAAAAAGTTAATAAACGATGTATTTCATTTGTTGTTTTGTAATTTTAGGTCATGGTAAATGTGTGGAATTTATCAAAGGTTTTAATTTACCATTATTACTCCTTGGTGGTGGAGGTTATACAATTCGAAATGTTGCACGTGCTTGGACAAATGAAACAGCTATTGCACTTAATCAAGAAATTTCAAATGGTATGTTTGTTTAGTTTTAGTTTTATTTCAATTATTTAAATATATTTACTTATAGAATTACCTTATAATGATTATTTTGAATATTATGGACCAGATTTTAAATTAAATATTAGTCCATCAAATATGCCAAATCAAAATAATACAGAATATTTAGATAAAATCAAGTAAATACTAATGAAAAAAAAAAAACAATGCCTTGATTTTTTTAAAATAAATATAAATATTGTTATTGAATAGAGTTAAACTTTTTGACAATCTTCGAATGTTACCTCATGTACCTGGTGTTCAAATGCAACGTAAGTTTTATTAAAAAAAAAAAGATATTGTTTTTTTGTTTCTAAATAAATAATATTTTTTAGCTATTCCTGATGACATCATGGATGTTGATCGAGTTGTTGATGAAGATAAAGATAGCGATCCTAATAAAGTAAAATAAATATACAAACAAAAAAAGATAATTATTATTCATTGAATATATATATTTATTTAGCGTATTTCACAAGTACAAAGAGATCATCGTATTGTTGATGAACGTGAATTATCTGATTCAGAAGATGAAGATGGTGATAAACGACGTAATCAATCAAATGCAAAACAAGTTTCTAATAAACATAAACCTAATTTAGAATCAATTAATGGTATTATTTCATCAATATTTTGTTTTTAATAATCATTTAAATTTATTTTTTAAAAGGTACATCAATCAATGGCAATGAAGTAATCTTACCATCTAGTACAACTGTTACACAAGATACAAAGATTACTGAATCAACTACTATTATTTCATCTGCCAATGATAAAACATCTGAAAATAAGCTATCAGATGAAACAACTAGATCTACAAAACCATCTGAAGAAGAAACAATGGTAACAACAACAAAAGAAGAAATAACAAAAACAACAACTGTACTTGTTGAAAATCAATCACCTACAACTGTTGCAAATGATGATATACCAAAAGAAACTGTTACAACACCACTTCCAGATGTCATGGATACATCAGAGTATGATTTTTTGTTTATTTTTTGAATTGATTATTTGTATGATTCTTCTTTTTAGAGCCTCCTAAAAAAGATTATTTTATCCTTTTACAAGAATAACAATAAGTCTCATTAAATTGATATGTTTGTTTTGGAAAATTTCAAAGTCACATTGGCTTCTTGTATCTGTGTGCATTTTGATTTTCTCTTTTTTTTTCTTTCGTTTGTTGAAATATGTTCTTCTGGTTGTAAAGAAACAAAAACAAAATCCAAGAAATCTCTTATTCATATTCTATATGTTTGTTCGTATAGCTGTTTTCTACTGTGCTGTAAATCAAGTTTAACTTTGTCTTCTTTTTTCTTTTCTTGTATGTTTGCAAAACCAAAAAAAAAACAATTTGTGTGTGTGTTGATGTAATAAGAAAAAAAAAGATACATCGTTCAATATTAGTTGTTCCAATAATTTAAAGCTTTTCATATTCAATATTGATATATATGATGAAAAAAAGTGAACATCATATGTAATTATGTGGATATTGTTGTTTTAATTCAAGACACATAATTATTTGCTAATATTTTGCATTCATTAGGCATGCTACAACATTGTAATCATACAAATCTTTTGTATAAAATCAACAGTGAATAGGTTATGTTTCAAAATCAATAGAAAAATATTCATGAAATTATTTTCGGTGAATATTCAGCAATGTTAAAGATAGTGTTTATTACTTTAAAAAAAAGTATACTATCTATTTATATATAAGTAGCAATTCACATTGCAGACAATTAGTTTCTGTCTATTTTTTTTCGATTCGTCTTCTTATGAGATAAAATGCAATACTGATAAATCAAAGAAGTTAAATGAATACATATGGGAAGAAATGAGGGTACGAATGAGTAGAGGATCTACACATTGGCGGTCACACTCAACCTATTAATTCATTATGGAGACAACTAAAAACAAAATTTCTTAGAATAACAAATGGATCAACTTTAATAGACACATATCTGGTCAAATTTTGGTACTGTTCTGTATATAAGTCGATCTCTCCATGTATTCTTGATGGTATTTCACATTATTATTCAAGATAAAACTGATACTGATTACTTGCCAGTCATCGTGTCTTATTTACTTATTTTGCTCTTATTTTTTGTCATAAAACTTGTCAGTCGAGTGTTGGTATAGATCTCAAATGGATCAGTACCAGTAGCCATCGTAAAAAATCCAGATCGGTTCTATCTCTGATTATAGCATAAAGTAAAATATTTTGATGCTGTTTGATTGTTTCTTTTTTGGCTTTCATTTTGTAAGAAATATTCAAAAATTTCAAGCATGTTTATTTTTTCTCAAGCTTTTATCAACAAGAATATTCCCACAGAGATACAGAACACTAAAAATATGTTGGTTTCTTCTTTTTCCATGAGATATACAAAGAAAACTATCATAGATAGCATAATATATAAATAGCTCATATAATATTAGAAGATAAAACGTCAATTTTAATGTCACCAAACCATACAATGAAATAGATTGAAACACCAACTCAACCAATGTCATTATAGAGCTTCAGTGATATTCACAATTCATTCCAGTGTGGTTCATCGGTAAAACAAAATATCGACAATCTTTTTTTTTATGTAAAATCAGGCTGAAATTTCATACAATCCATCTATCATGTACGAAATTACCCATGTTGAGAGTTCAAATATGTGGCATTCACGAGTTGACCACATCTTCTCACTTTTGAAAAGTTCAATAGGGCATATTTTCAGCTCTCAAAATAGCTTTTTTTTCAATCTCCCCATTGCTTCTGTTCACTATATCGTTGCAAGAATTGTTTTACATATTCAGACTAAACCCGTGATATGGACAACAACTATGCCAAGATAAATGAAATAATTTTATATTATATACGAATGACGAATTTGTCACTTGATTCTTGCAATAGATAGAGCCATCATTTTTGTTCTTATCTTTCAGTATATTTTTCTCAATTGTAATTTCTTGAATTTGTAACCATTTAAAACTTCCTGTTGAATAGAATTTTCTGCTATTTCTGTTTTTTTCTTATTCATTCAAAATTTTTATTAAAATCAAAATAAAAACGATGTTTGAAATATTGAATGTTTCTAACGAATATAAGTTTTTCTATTTCATGAGTACAATTATTCAAGCAAAATTTAAAAATAAATGATCAATTGTTTAAACTTCATTGATGTTGTAACTATATATATATATATGTATGTATAATCATAATTATGTTTATCAAATATGTCTTTGATGTAATATTCTTCAATCAATTTGTCACCAATCGGAACTCAATTATAATATAATACTATCCGACATTTATTTATAGCGCCCTTGATTCCTCTTTGCTGAACAGGGTTTTTTTTCATTGGTTACATATAAACTATTTTCTGAATGGTTAAACATACGATTTGTCCGTATAAATAAGTGATCCTTTCTTCTAGAATAGGGGAAAATTTTTTGATTGATTCAATTTTAATCTCGTTCAAAATTATACAATTTTATTATGTCATCAACAAAAACCGAAGATTATGATGTTGAAAAAATTGTTTCAAAACGAATCAATGGCAAAGGTCGAATTTTCTATTTAATTAAATGGAAAGGTATATTTCAATGATTATCTGAAAAAATTTTCTTCTAATTTTTATTTTTTTATTTTTCAAGGTTATAGTACAGCATATAATACATGGGAACCAAAAGATCATGTGGCTAATTGTCAAGATTTAATTAAAGAATTTGAAGCTGGAGAAGAAGAGAATAGAAAGAAATTAAGAAGTGCAAATCCTAATGAATCTCAAGGTCAAATAAATGTTCGATCAACTCGTTCCAGTGTATTAACACCAAAACAATCAACAAATAAGGGTGAAAGATCTACACGCAGTAGTAATCGTAGTTTACCCACACGTCAACATAATAAACGTGCAGCAAATCATGATGACATGGTTAGTGAAGGTGAAAATGATAATGAATTTATTGAAAGAAAATCAGCATCACCAAAACGATTACGTAAAAATACAAATGATACTGATTTAGCACTTTCAATTGATAGTGATATACTTGATACATCAAAACTTGATCAAATTCTTGATGTTCGTCGAAATAAAAAAACAAATATAGTAGAATATTATATTCAAGTAAAAAAAGTTAAAAAACCAATATGGATGAATTCAAATCGTTTAGCTGAAGATTATCATCAACAAGTTATTGATTTTCTTGAAGAACAATTTGTTTAAAATTTTACATAGAATAAAAACAAAACGATACATATATACATATATAATTTTCCTGTTCATTAGGGTCTTGCTTTTTTTTTCTTCTCTATATAATATTAATCTATATTCTATATTGTGATTGTGTGTGTATGTATATAAATATATATGTATGCATGTTCTATAGAAGGCATATTGCCTTTGGTCATTATGTAACTCCGTTTATTTTGTGTCAAAGATCAGTCATAGTGTTCTTTTTTTTCTTCTTTTTTTTTTGTGTTTAATTCATGTTTAAACTATAGAAATACATATCTAGCTGATTTGACCGTTGTGAATATTCTAATTTTTTTATTCGAATATCAATAGATGTTACGGTATTTTTCAGGTAAGTGGAAAAAAATCAAACGAATATTTAAAAAAAATGTACTGTAATAAAAAGAAGAAAATTTGATTTCATTGAAATGAGTATAAAAAAATGATAATAACAACAATAATTAATTCTTATAAAATTTCAATTTTAACTGTCTCTTATATTTTAATCCTGATACTATGTATCATTTTAATATATGTCTCACATGTCTTTTATCTAATTTCAATAGATGACAGTTCGAATAAATTACTGTGAAATAGATTTAATTGATGCCTTGATTGATATGTGTAAACTGTCATAACACGATAAAATAAACAAGAATATCTAATCATCATCCTTGCTATGCTACTATTTTCATCTTAATGAATAGTTCTTAAATATACGATCATTAGTTTACATAGCATAACAGAAGTTGACAGTTATACACTCGTCCACCACTTGTTATCTTTTGTTTTGTTGTGACGAACAAAGCGAAACGAAATCATTAAAATAGAGTTTGAATACCGCTAGTTTTAGTAAAAAGAACCCAATGTGGATCACTATCATAGAAAATATCGCAAAAAATGGTCTGTATTTCGAAATTATAATGAAAAAATTTTGTTTTTTTTCATTGTAACATATTTCTCATTAAATTGTAGTCATACCATATTCCTTAAATTTTTTTCCTGTGGATTCTATACAGAAAAATATTTTAATGCAAAATATGTTACGATGATAGAAAAAGATACATTGTTTCATTCTGACTCGTTTATTTTGCATACTTACAAGCCCTGAATAATGAAAATTTCGAAATATAATATGAAAGTGATTCTTCTTGGGTTCTTTTGCTAAGACTCAACATATAAAATGAGTATTTTAATGTTTTCATATCGCCTCGCTAGTAACAAAAATAAAAGTATAAAAGGCTGAAAAAAACAACGCTGAGTGCTTTGGTTTTATAGAACTTAACTTTTAGTTACTTTAGGTATGACGATCATTTTTCTTTTTAGTCCAAAATAAGAATCATCATAATCTTGTTTAACAAATAACAAAAAAAAATAGAGAACAAATCATGAACCAAGAAAAAAAGAAAGAAACCATGATGGAAACAAGGACAATGACAATTATCTGAGCTCTCTATTGCCAATTATAATGTTTATAACCGGTTTCACAAAAGAAATACAGGAGAGATAGAGATAAACTAATGTTTATTATTCCATCTCTTCACTTTGATCATTCTTGTCGTTGTCATCTAAAAAATAAATACAAAAATTTCAAATAAATAACATAAATAAGTTAATTTCAATAGATAATAATATTAGTATTCATTTTCCATCATCTTATCTTTTATTTGATGATAAAATTAATTACATATATATGATTATTAGGCAAAAGTAAACTTGTAAAAAGAAATCTATTATCAAATTTTGAACATATTTCTAACTTTGTAATCTTCAATCGTTGGAGAATCGATTTTTTTTAATAGAAAAAAATTTGGATTTTCATTTACAAAATCAATTGTAGTTGAAAATTATTAATCATAATATTTTTTTTTTAATCGAGACTCCATATAAATAATCAAACAGAAACCTTCTAAGATGTTTTTCTATTGAGTAGTAAGTCTAGTTGATTGATAAATGATGGCAGGACAACCCATTGTAGATTTTGAAGCCTCAAGTAATAAATCATGTTTAAGTTAGAATTATATTCAATCGATACTGTATAGTAGATGAGTAAATATTCTAGAATGATTCGACTTGCTTGACTTTTATTGTTTAGATATCTAATATTTAGTGGTGTATCTATCCTGTATGACCTAATGTTCAGGCGAAATTATTCTTTTGAATTTTGATCGGAAACTTTGCTCACCTAAATCCGTAGATTAAACTAGCTTGTTGACAAAAATTTTGGAATTTTTTCCTTAATTCTCTTCAATATATGAATTTTTTAGAAATAAAGACGTTTTGCCATGATTGTTGTAGAAAAAAAACAATGGATATTTTTAAAAATTCATATCTTGACAAAATATTACGAACTTCTATGTGTTTTTTTTGTTCTACTAAGTATTTATTAAATACTATACCTTGAACATCATGTTGACCTCGTCTATGAACACCAAAGTGTGAACCGCGTAATGCTTGATTTGTTGATGCAAAATGTGCATTATATCCATAAGGATCATCATCCTCATTAGCTCCATCTCCATTTTCATTGTTATCATCTTCATTCCCATAATCAATATCTATATATTAAATTAAAATATAGATTAATTATATAATAAAAAAAAAAATTATATCAAAAAATATTTACCAGAACCAACTTCATCATCTTCAATCATGTCATCAAGTGGATCAGGATGAAGTGCTTGACATTCAGCTATAATTTGATAAGCAATTTTAAGATCTTCAGATGTTGCCATTACAAATCGATAATTCACAGTACGAATACTATCATATTCAATAGGTGAATTACTTCGTTCATCATCACCATTACCTTGATGATTTGCTGTACCTTAAAATATTTATTAAAAAAAAACCTTTTTTATTTTAATCAATAAACTTACCATCATCATCATTATCTTCGTCTTCTTTTGGTTTTTGAACAATAACAACAAGATGTTCTTCAGGATATTTAGGATCATGTGTTACAATACCATGCATTGTTAATGATGGATAATCAATAGCTATACCTTGCCGTTGTGTTTCATTAGATGCAATAGCCCATACTAATTGACTAAAACGAAAAATAAAAATTACAAAAAAAAAGAAGCAAAATAGATAAATTATTTACTTTTCAGCAATACATAAAATTCCTTGACCTAAATATTCATCTTCTAAATAAGCTTTGACTGATGAATATTGTTGACGAATATATTCTGTTGGAAATGAAATAATATTTAAATTAGAAGACATCTACAAAAAGCAAAAATTCTATTTATTAAGACATTACAATAGTACACAAATATGAATGTACTACAACAATACGAAAGGAGAAGAAATAAAACAGAATATTTATTTTGAGAAGATTTAAATGAATTAAATTATTTTCATCACATCTATAAACGAATTTCATGCCATTGCTTATCTGACCAACGAAGAAGGCAGAAAGATTCGCTTTGTTTTTTTTTTATATAAATACATCAATGAAAACCATTATTAGATGATGATGGTGATCGTGGTAATGCTTTCATTTGTAATTGAGCTACTTGTTCACGTAGAAGTGCAACTTCCTTTTGAAGCTAGAAAATTAAAAAAAAAAAGATTTCATAGTAATTTTGTAACAGAAAAAAAATTTAATAATGATGAAAGTACTCTTTCTTCAAAAAAATTGATTTTTCTCAAAAAAAACAAATATCAAAATATACGAGTATGTCACTTCAGATGTCTATATGAAAAAATTTTTTAATATTTTGAAGATTTTAAAGTATTTTTGACAATTCTACCATCCTCTGAGTCGATACAACCTTACATATAATTTCACAAATACCGTCACCTATCGTTGATCATGTCGCTACAAGCACAGTTCGATGCGCTATAATCAGTATACTTACCATTGCTATACAATCTTTCTGTTTTATCTAGAAACTAAGAGAAAGTTTAAAAAGTTTCTATAATGTTTTTTTCTCAAAATTGATCTTTATAGTAATGATCAATACTCGAATCGATTTTTTTAAACATATAATGCATTATAACAAGCTGCGTTTTTAAATTTTTCTTTGAGATATTCAATACTCCTTTTAAAATGGATAAGGATTTCTTTTAGTTCTATAGAACATCTATGATGCTATTTCAAGATTTTAGAAGCTTTGCCGCACCATAAATTCAAGAAAATCATTATTAAAACAACTCCTCTAAATCAAAAGAGAGACATAGTTGTCTTTCAAAGTAAATTATTCATGACTCTTCAACTTGAAGTATAATAAAAGGAAAACCCTATTTGTGCAACTTATAGATGATCAAATTGTGAAAAATTATGTAGCTGCTATTGCTAGTCACAGGAAGATTGTGTTATATATTCTCAGCATTGCTAGAAAATTTCATGTCTTGTATGGAAAATCGATTTTGAAATAGGAGGAAGACTTAAACTTACTCGTGAATTAGTCTGACCCATATGCTCAATTTCTTTAGTTGATTCTGTTGCTTGAGTGAAAAATGCTCGATTTGAATCATTCTAAATGAAAAAAAATTGAATTGTTTGTTTTTTGTTATTAATAAAAAAAGAATTTATTAGTTTACGGTTGCTCGTTGTCGATCAAGATCTGATTTAAGTGTTTGATTTTCTGCTTGAAGATGATCAATTTTCTTCTTCATTAATGCAATTATTTTTTCAAGTTCAACAGTTGATCGACCAGATTCACCAATCTTTTAAATAAAATATATACATATATATTTTAATTATTGTTTTAAAAATAAAAGAATAAAAAATTTTACTCGTCGAATACCGCCACTCGATGTTGATCGTGGACTATCACCATTTCTTAAACTTTCATTTTCAGCTTTTAAAAATACATTGATTTTTTGTAACTCTTCATTACGTAATCGAACTCTAGATAATAATAATAATAATAAAATGTTTTAATTATGTTTCTATGAGATAATTTAATAACTTACTTGCTTAATTCCTCTTTTAATTGTTGATTAAATTTAAGTAATTCTTTTTTATGTGTATCTAAATCAGTTACTTGTTGTTGCAATGATTCAACTGTTCGTCTTGTTCGTTCATCCTACATAAAATATAAACTTGGAAAATATTTGATGCTTGTGAAGTTTTTTTCTACTACTTTGAAATGTAAAATGTCTCTGATAGCCTTAGAAATTTCTTTAACATCAAAAAAAATTTTTCACAATCTGATAGCTGAAGTTTTCAACACAAAAGTTGCTTTTTTGTTTTTTGTTTTACTTTGAAAGCTTCATTAAAACCTCTATACCGCGTAGATACAAGTATGTATTCAAAAGGTTGACAATGTTGGCTCTCTAACTAGATAGAGGTTTTAAAATCAGAATTTTTAACGAAAATCAGCTGTACTATTGAGGGAACTATCCGATCTGATATCTGCCATTTAAACTCATATTGTACTTGCAAGGAGGTTTTGGTAAGACTAGAAAAAGCTTAAAAGGTTTCATGTAAATAAATCGAAGGACTGCTAGAATACCCTGAAAGTTTCAGCTGGAAAGAATGTTTCTTAGCCAACATATCGAATTTCCAAAAAAACATGGTCGTTTGCGACAAAAACCGAGATTACATGAAAACTCAATATTTCGACAAAAAAAACATTCTTTTGACATGCAAGTTTCAGAATATTTTACTAGCCATTCAAACTATTTATAAGTGACATTTCAGATCAAAATACCTTTATTTGATTATTTGGCCAATGCCTAAAGCTGGATCGAAAATTCATTGATACGGCCATAAATTGGGTTAAGACTATCATAGACACAAACCCTTTAAGCATCTTTGTAGTCTTACCAAGACCTCTTTGTGAACTCATATGATCTTAAGTGGAGAGTATCTTTTTCTTAGTGTTCTTGTAAGTAGTGATGAACCGAGTCAATCGTTTTTGGTGTCGGTGTCGATCAGCAAATAATTTTCAGTTTTGGTTTCACGCCTTCTAATGCATGTATTCGTGGAAAATACAATATCATTTTCTAGCAGTGTCAGTGTGCTCGAGATATCTTGCATGAAATTTGATATGCTCCTTCTTGAAGACTCATTATTTTTAAAATTCTCTAATATGTTGTCTGTTCTCTGTGCTTATGTATTCGACAACACAACTCTATTTTTTTTACGGGAAAAAAGGATAAATCCGATTATAAAACTTTTAACAGCAAATATTGAAGTGATCATCATTCAATAATTGTCACATAAACTTATAGGAATACATGAGTCGTAAGAATAAGATATTTGACGTAAGTCTTACACGACCATAAAAGATATTACACCTAATCGAAACGGGTTAGCCTGATCCTGGAGGAACCCGGACCGTCTTGTCCATATCTATTTATGAGCGAAGGATGAATCTTAAGTGAATTCATCATAGTTATATTCGATATTAATACCCTGAATATACACTACTCACCCGGTTTTCATCCATAGGGCGTTCAGCTGTTTTTGTTTTACGAAGTTTATCTTCGAGTAGACGATTTTGACGTCGTAATGATTCGATGGTATCTTCACCCTATTAATATATTCAGAAATATTATATAAATATTTTTACATTTAATTTCCAAAACCTGGCCTTGTTGAAATTGTTGACCAGCCATTCTTCGTTGTGCATTATCTGTTAGTGCTGCATTTTGTTGTTGAAGTTTAGTTAATTTCTTTTCATTTTGACCTATTATTGAATATAATTTTGATACACTCTTAAAATAAATATAGAAAATTTACCTAATTTTTGTCTAGCATCAGCTGCTTCGTCCGTAGATTGTTGTGCTAAAGCTTTTTGTGTTTTTAATTCTCGTTTTAAATTTTGTATTTGTCCTTCATAATCATCAATTTTTTCTTGTAATTGTGCTGTTTTATTTGTAATTAATGCTTGTATAGAAAGACTTTGTTTATCTTCTTCATTCATAGCTTTTAGATTTCCTTCAGCTATTTTAACCATATCACTACGAATATCAGCTAAAGCACGTATGAATTCTTGACGTTTTTCTTCTTTTAATGGTGGTTGATTTGCTCCAGTTTTTGTAAAATCTTTTGTTCCTTTGCTAGGTGAAGATTTTTGTGCATTCTCATATTCATTCATTTGTCCAATTCTAGCTTGTTGATCTTGTAATTGTGAACGATGATGTTCTATTTCACGATTAAGTTCATCCACAATTTTTTCGTAACTGGTTTTAACACTGCAAAAAAAAACCAATTTTATTGAGAATGTCAAAAAGTTCTATTCAGATTAAATTGAAATATAAAACATCTGAAACTTTTGAAAATGTGTTTATTTAACACAGCAAAATGAGATGTCTCAACTCTTTCTATGATGTTCCTTCGTCGACTTGTATAAGGTTTTCTTTTGTTTTTATGAAAAATTTTAATGATTTCATTGTGTTTGATGCTTCTGGGTGTTCTATGAATTGAATGCAGTTCTATGAAAGAAAATCATGAAGAGAGCCAAGACGTAACGTTTTGCTCTATCAAATAAAACTGTTTTCAAACGCTTCAAATAGATATTAGAGAACTGGTTTTGGTGGTCTTGGTTTTCTAGACATCTCTATTCAAGCAATTTTATTTAAGCTTTTAGATTCAACGATTTTGATAGAGAGCCCTTTCAGTTACTCAAATGTTGTTTTAGATGCTGCTTTGATATTACCATCGAAAAAAAAAAATTAAAAATACAGCTGCTCTAAACTGGCGTCTACCACTATATTTTGCCAGTGTATCATACGAGAAAACATATTCAACTGTCTAATGTCGTTCGACTTCTTGTTATGGTTACCAGTTGGTCACTATGAAGTTAAGACCAATGTAAAATGATGTGTCTATGATTAACTGATGAATAGTTATGTCCATCAGAGTAAAATTTTAAGTAAGAACGAGACGTTTCTGAAACACCTAAACACAATGAGTTTTGATCTAAAATTTCGTCTATCAATAGATTTCATAGTTATCAGATAGCCCTGAAAGTTTCAACGAAAACGAAGATATCTTTCTCTCGAGACATTAAATTTCAAAAGAACAGCTTGTTATCGTATTATCATTTTTGGGGCTGAAATATGGAATTCGTATATTCCTTATGAACTAGCGGATAATTTAGTATAAATTTCTTTTATAAAATAATGATTCACCTAACTAGGAAAATATCCAAATCATTTTTTTAATCATTTTCAATGTGACTAAATTATTGTGGATTCTCCAATGTATAAAACTCTCAATAGAACTTTGATTCATTTATACTAAAAAATTCATTATGTTTCTTTTCATAATATAGCAACACTATTGTTCTTATGTTATGTCGACGAAAACAAAAATACGACAACAATCAAAATAGATGAAACAATAAATGACTATAATAACATTTCTTCACGAAATGACACAGTTACAAATAGACGTTGAAGTATTAATTACATTAAGACAAAACAAACGTTCCTTCACTATGAAAAGTACACATATTAGTACCTTGATTGTATACTCTTGGCTTTACTTGCTTTTTTCTTTGATTTCAAAATTTCAGTCATTGTGGTTCGCTATGCAAATTTTTTATTTTTGTCTGCGCAACTACGAATGAAAGCAACATTAAAATGACCGATTTAGATGTGTGGTCGCTATGGAAATGTACTCGACGACCTCTAAGACCAGTTACTAAAATCTGCGGTGGAGAGGGAGAGATGTTTGAGTATTTTCCTCGAAATTGTATGTGAATTCTACAAAAAAAAAAAACGTTTACCACTGGAGGAGATAATAATTCAGTCTATTTAGTCATTGAATATTTCGAAAAAGACATATTCATTTTCATTAAGTCTTTTAACACTATCGAACGACTATTAAATCTATCGATAGGCAATAGTTCACATCACAGTTCTTGGTTTTGAGTGTTTCAGAAATCGCTTATTGTCAGTAAAGATTCTAGTCTAATGCATGATATGAAATTGAAAGATGTTCTGACAGTTAAATATGTTTTTTCGTTATGAACTTTTATCATATCAAAACTATAGAATTCAGCAGTATTCGGTTGATAGTGAATATAAGAAGAAAAATTTTTATTATACTTTTCTCGATCGTGTTTAAATTGTTCCATTTTTTGTGTTAAACGTGCTTTCCATGTTTCAGCTTCACGACGTGCTTCACGTAATTTTTCATTTAAATGTGCAATTGTATTTTCTTGTACAGCAACATTTTCTTCAAGTTCACGTACACGTGCTAACTATAAATATAGAAAACATAAAGAAAAAATTTAAATAAATTCTTCAAAAAATAAAACTAACTTCAAATGATGTAGGTGTACCATGAAAATGAGCTGGATTTCCTCCTCGTTCAACAAATTCTTTAAAACGAATAAAATCTAAATCACGTTTATTTTGTAACTGTTCATTAAGTAATTGAAGTTCTTCTTCATGTTGTCGTGTTTGTTTATTTAAATCATCTCGAGCTTCTTTAAGCATTTCTTGATATTTACGAATACTTTCTTCTTTTTGTATAATACGAGCCTATAGAGAGAAAAAAATATAAATTAATCCTAATGAAAATTTATTTTATATACTTGAAGACTATCAATTGTTGATTGTGCTGCTCGAACAGCAGCTAAACGTGAAAAATCATCAGGTCGTGTCATAACATCTGATATAAGTTTATCTGAATCAAGAATAGTTGTTGTTGGTAAACGAAGTCGTAGTTCATGAATAATTTTATCACGAGCTAATATAGCATTTTCCATTTCACGAACTTTTTCAATATGTTCAGCAGTTCTCTATATGAAATAATAAAAATTATTAGAAATGACAAAAATAAAGAACGCCATTGGACTTGGTAATTTATGTTGAACTAGGATACCATCTATGGGATTTTGTCGAGCAATTTATGTCACATCGAATAGTAAATAAGAAATCAAGTTTTCTTCAAACGTTGCTGTTCTGAATTGTATATACTGATTAATAATCCTTGAGAAATATATATGGTACTCAAAGATATTGTAAGCCCCAAACTATTCTAAGACAGTCTTATGCAAATATTATTTTTAGACTAAACTCAGTACAGTTATATATAATATTGCAGTGTGTTCAGTTTTTTGCCACAGAACAAGTGAGCAATCGACATGAAGCTTTGTTAAAAATTGCACAGTCTCGAGCACTATACTATGTGTGCCACACACAAGATCTTTCAGAACAGCAGAGACTCATTTTTAACTTACAAGATTGTTTCCAAAGATAGTCAATTCTCCTATATGAAGGGTCTGATATATTGACGATATTTTAACAATACTCAACAGTCCAGTTAAAAATGTTCATGCACTAATAGTCAATACAGTATTCCTGATGAATTGATATAAATAATTCCTTTATATATGGTAAAACATTCTTAGCCTTCGCACCCTTAAAGAAGAGTACGAGTGTAGGAAGGAGGGCTGCTATTGTTGTTATCTTCTTTGTAAATTCTTATTTCGAGTATTCAGGTTTGTTTTTTACATGAAACTCTACACAAGTTATTTTTATTAGTTTATCAGGGATATTGTAGACCATCTCGAGAGACAGATTATCTAGGAGTAGCATATATACTCAAGAATAACGACCGATACATGGACGTTCGTAAAATATTCTTCCAAATCATATCTAATGGTATTCTGATTCAAGATAGGCTACCAAATCCAGCTGAGTCTTTTAACTTACCTTTTCAACAAGTTGATGTTGTACTTTAGCTTCCATTAATAGATGTATATTTTCACGAATGATTCGTAAAGCTTGTTCTAATTGATGAGCTACAGGTAATGATGGATCAGGATAATTGCCGATAGCTTCTTCGAACTAAATTTCAAAAAACTCTATCAAGTAGAAAATAAAAAATATTTAATCTTACTCGTTTTGCAGCATCAGCAATATCATTTTGTTGTTTTTCAAGTTGATCGATTTTTCTTTCCATTTCTAATTCTCGATGTTCCCAAATTAATTGTCTTTCTTCGATTTCCTATTTAATATTATTTGTATAGTTTGTTACATTTTTTTTCCAGAAATAAAATTATAAATCAATACCTTTTCAAATTTCACATTTTCTTCTTCTAGTTCAGTTACATTTATTTCAAGTTGTTGTACTACTTTATTCAAATGTGCTTTCTACGTGAATAAAAGATATATATATATATAATAATTTCTATAATATTCATATTCTATTAAAATTATTTTCATTACGGTTAACGATGTTTAATTGATAATAGAAATGAGATTGTCAAAAAAGAAAGAACCCATCAGAACATACAGGAACTTCCAAAAGTATTCGACAATGATTATTTCCAATTTTCCATGATATCTGTAAACTCTAATAAGATTTCGAATACTGATTTAAGTAAAAAAACTTTATTTCTGAGCATTTTTCAAGGTGAGAATGATTGCTACTTTTCCATGGTAAATTTCGAGATTTGTCTATAAAATCGAAGAATCAATCACATATTTGATAAAAAAAACTCGTGCAAAGTTATTAAGATAGTCCTTTTCAGGTTAGGAGATTTAATGTAGAAAAAAGGAGTCATCCATTATAATTCTATTTGTATGACTTTAAATGTAGTATTCACAAGAAGGTTTGATAGCAGGTAAAAAGTATGTTAACTTCAATTCTTCTGTCTAATAATTTGACGACAAATAGCGTTCGGTAGATGCTGATCATAAGCAACAATCCGGGTCGACAGGCTTTAATGCAAACAATTTACGATGGAAACATTGGCATTTCCCTACAATCCAAAAAAAGACTATCTGGACACTTTTTTGATTTTCTATTATTTCAATAAGTTAACCTCTATTTTCATATTAAAAAATAAAGATTTACATGTCTATATGGTGTGACAAATAAGATGCTTCAATCTGCTATAACCTTGAGGTGTGAGGCAACCTTCATTGCTTGAAGCAGTCTTAGAATGAATTTCTTCTTCTTCATCGATGGTTGTGATTGTCATATTTTGAGGAAGAACTCAATTAGAGCAGGGTAATCGCTAGAGAAAATATCAAGATTAATGTTTAGAAGTAACCGAAGATATAGGTCATTTTTCGATTATTTCCAAACAGCTCTCATATGAATATTATCCAAAGAATAGTTCATAAATCAAGCAAGCTAAAGATGATTGACATAGAATTTGTATTGGTGATAGAAGTAGTAGCGAGCTATCAAATGATGGCTCTAAACGTCATGAGGCTTATTTTCTATGTAAAGATACCGTTATCTGAAGAACAAACCAATGTTGACTTTCAAGCTCCTTCGCATGAAAACCGATGAAGTTCTAATTAGTCCTCGCAATCAAAATTTAAATACTATATTTATGATCAAACTCTGATTCTAAAGAATTAAAGTTTAGGTAATTTTTCGTGTAACTACATTGGATCATTAAACATCGTTAAGTTTAATTCAAATTCTTTGAATTTCTGTACAAAACTTACATCCGTTTCCAAACGTTTATTAAGTCGAATATGTCTTAATTCATTTAATTTAACTTTTTCTAATTTTTGTTGCCATTCAATCATTTTTTGTACACGTGCATTACCTTGCCCATCTTTAAGTGTAGCTAAAAGTTCTTCAAGTGATTTATGTTTAAATTCATATGATGCTATTTGTGTTTCAAGATCAAATTTTTGATCGGCTAATTTTTTCATATCAAGATCTAATTGTTTTTTACCATTACGTAAATCAATCATTGTTTTAGCATATGATTCTTGTACACGTAATGGTAATGCACCTGCATATTTATGACGATAATCCTAAATAAAATCAAATATAAAATTATTCTTTATTTATTTTTTTTTGATTTCAAATAAATTTAATTAAATTTTACTTGTAAAGCTGTTCTTAAATATCGAATACGTTGTGTATATTCTTGACGAATAAAAAATAGACTTTGTTCTTTTTCATCTAATTTTTGTTCAGCTCGAAGAAGTAATGCTTTTTGTTTAGCTAAATCATTATCTGATTGTAATTGTTTTCGTTTAGATGTTGCTTCACTTATTTGTAAAGCAAGAATATGACGATGAAGTTTACCTATAGATAAAGTATAAGGTTTTTTCTTTTCGAAAGAGAGAATTTTTCTAAGTGATTAGTTGATTCTGAGATAAGTCTTAACTTATTATATGAACTCTACTTGAATTTGAGAAAGTCTAAAAGAATTCATGCTTATAAATTTTCAGGAGTTAAATCGATTTTAGTACAATTTTCAACAAAATGTTGTGATCCTTTTCAAGTCTCGAATTCAAACATAACAGAAATAAAATTTTCAATAATATTTGGACATTATGAAAATGTCAGCTTTTCTAGTACGTATAATTCGGAGACACAGCTAGATACAAAAAGTCCATCGAATGCAGATAATTTCGACTGAATTCCAGTTATTGAGTTTCAATGAACGTGATCTACTTGAATATTTAGAAACTTTCGATCGAATTCTATTGAATTCCGATCAAATCTAGATAGGTAAGTATTCAACAACAGAATCGTTCATTTTAAGAATGTTAACTTTTTCACATAGTAGAATTGTTGATCATTAGTATCTGAGGATAGGAGATAAAAGAAAATTTGATACTTTGACCATGAAATAGTCCAATTGTAAACTTTATTTGTGTAGTGTTCTAATTCAAAAGTCGATATTAAAGGTAATCTATGACATTTTATTGAAAAACTCCATACAATGTTTATCACTGAAAAAGAAAACTTAGACTTTTTCTCAATTCAATAAGACTCTTTGAATTCAGTGAAATTCATCTCCAAAATATATTTATTACTTGAAGAGTTATCTTTAGTAGAAATTTTATGTTACCAATTTCGCTTTTATCATCTGATTTTGATTGTAAATCAAGTAATTGAAGGCGTAATGATTGAAATTCTTTTTCATCTAATACTTTCATATCATTAATAGCTCCGACTTGATAAGTTGCTACTTCAGATATTTCACGTAAACGTGCTATTTCTTGTTTAGATTGAATTTCAATGCCTTCAAGTTCAGATATACGTCTACAAAAACATAAATTGTTAAAAAAGAACACATTTTGTTTTTAAACATAAAGCATACCGTTTGTCAGCATCAGATACTGTTCGTGGCACACTATACGCAAGTTCATCACGTAATTCACGCTCAGCTCGTTGCATTTCAAGATTCATTCGAGTTAATTCACTAAATTTGTGTTCTAATTCAAGATTTCGATCTTCCATTTGTCGAAGTGTTACACGTTGTTGATCATAAAGTTTTTGTGCATATTCAGCACGTTGCCGTTCATTAAGTTCTTTCATTTCAAGAACAGTTATTTTACGTGAAAGACTTCCTGGATTATCATCATCAAGTGAACCAGTAGTACTGGTTCGAAGCATTGTCGTAGCATAGCCTAAATATGAATATTTTTAGAAAATAAAACTTTGAAAATAAGAATTTTTTTTATGAAACATGATCGAAAAGACGTGTCAATATATGGAAAGTAGAAATTTGCATCGATTACTTTACAGACATCATCATAGAAACACCATAGACCATAGCAGGCGGGATCAACAGAAATGTTAGCAACGCTCCTGATAGATTGCGAAACACGGTACTGATATGCAATCACAGGTCGTATTATCACTATCATCTCTGAGTGACTATTTTGTTCGACATGTGTCCACAAGAAACTGTGTTCAAACCTTGGTATCATCAGTTATGCAATGACCCTGGACAAGTCGCTAACAGTTGCTTCTCTTCAATTATCTGTTCGATAGCATGCTGATTATACTGAGGCGCACACCTGCTCATGTGACTAGTAAGTGTGTATAAAGAGCTCAAGCGTTTGGGCACAAGAAATTAGCGTCATACTTGCCTTATCTCAAGAGATACAGCTGGTATTAGTTGTAGAGAAAATATCGAGCTACTCAACTTGTCACTAGGCAGTACCCCATGGCGCAAGGTAATCGATAGACAAAAGTATTCTTTGTTTCAAAGGCCGTAAATGAATAACGTATTGTTATAGTATATGAACTAATTCTTATTGCAGTTCTGGAGAGCGTAAGTAAAAGTATGATGAATAAGTTTGTCCCAAAGTAGATAGAAAAAAACTATCTCTCTCTGATTAGTAACAGTTTTCACGTTTTAAGCACGTAGAAATTAAATTGACAAATTTCTTACCAGAATTAATTAAACCTTGATTTTTAAGATTTTCCATTGTTTCTTCTAATAAATGCATTTTTTCTTTATCAATTTGCAATTGTCGTTTAAGAAATTCAACTTCATCTGTTAATCGACGATTTGCGTCCTATACAAATTCAAACATTGTTTTTTTCTTTAAATTATAAAATAAACAAAACAAAAGATATTTACTGATACTATAGATGTTTGTTCTGTTTGTTGAATATATGTATGTTGTTGTTCAAGTAGATCTCGATATTTTTCAACAACATCTTCATATTTTTTATTAAGTTTATCTAATTCTGTTTGATGTACACTTTCTTCAACTTGTTTTTGTAAATGTTTTATACGATAAGCTGCTGTATCTTTAAAGCGTTGTAAATAGTTTAAACGCGTTTGAACAGCAACTTCCATATCAATAACTTCCGTACGTAATTTTGTATTATCCTATGAAATTTTATTATTATTTTTAAATACAAAAATAAATGAAAAAATTTTTATTTTTTATTGACCTTTCTTAATTTTGATTCAATATCTTGATATGAAAGAATTTTTCTAGCTAATTCTTTTTCATTAACACGTAAAACCGTTATTTTTCTTGTTACTTCTGCAATACGACGACGAACTTCAGCATCATCTTGTTCTAGTGTATTAAGCAGACGCTAAAAATAAAAGGAAAATATAAATTAAAGAAAATATATATATAAATATAATTTCATAATTTTACATCAAACTCTTGAAGTTTAACAAGATTTTTTTCAATTTCAGTTTGTAAATCACGTTTTGCTTCATTGGTTTGTTCACGTTCACTTGACCATAGTTGTTGTTTTTCATGAAAATCTTTATAAAGTAAACCTGTTTGATGTTTAATAACATTTAATTTTCGTCGATATTTATCAAGTCCTTCTTCAAGTTGTTTATTCATTTCACGTTGTGCTGTTACTTCCTATATAACAATAAAGATTTTCAATCAAATCATTGATTCCTCTATTACTTAATCAGCAATAGCGGACTCTTTAGATAAATATCAATATTCGTCTTTTAGCAATAGAACATTAGAATATTCGTCTGAAAGAACGAAGTCAAGAGGGTATTTACGTAGGGTAAAGGTATTTTTATTTAACGAATTTATGCTATGCGAAAACATTGTTGAGACTAATTTCAAACCAATTTTATCTGTTAGAAAATGATCGTTCAGTATTTTTATGATAATGCTTTTGATATACCTTTATTCTAACTAAAAATGCATTGTTTTTCGAAGTATGCTATAAATGAATAGTATAAGATGAATAATTTTTCTAATACAACTTTGTGTTAGGTTTTTCTGATAGTATGTTTCAGTTCTGGCATTGGCATTACTTTTCATGATACTTTTTTTCTAAGTAAGAGAATATAGAAATTCATTTGAAATTGAATGGCTCGATGACTAATGGTCCTCGATGATGAACGAGGGAAATTTGTCTTAACCCGATTGTTGTGTAATTAATGAATATACAGTTTCCCGCAGCATTCTACTGGAATAACCAATCTGATATCGCCGATCCTTTCCGACCGAGATTACTACGAATATATCGAGAATGGCTCGCCAGTAGCACTTAAAAATGGAAATGACATCTTTAAAAAAAGATTAGTTATTTCAACAGACCCATGTACCAAAGCTCATATTCATTAAGTACACAACAGTGATGTTAGAATAAGTTTCATTAGTCATTGCATAGTTCAGATTTAAGTGTATTGAACTATTCGATTGAGAGTGAATTCGTACATTCTCTCAATAAGACAATAACAACATCGAAAGAAAATAAATATGCAAGAACTGAAACATGCATGTATTCAAAAGAAAAATTAACGAAAAAGTTTTTCTAGAAAATTGTTCATTTTTGACTTATTCGTTTGAAGTGTATCTCAGAAAATGATGCATGTCATTTACATTAATAATAAATGCACTATTTTGTAAAGAATTAAAAAGCGAATCTATTGCAAAAAGTATTAGCCTGTTTTACTCTATAGACTTTATCCTTTCTAACAAGAAAAATTACGACTAGATCTGATGTTCGAAATATTAAAAAACGGATTTCGACATTATTCCATTGCTTATTAAATACATACAGCTAAAGCATCAACAAGATATTCATTAAGTAATGAAATAATATCTCGACTTGATGGTGTTAAGCCATCAGGTAATTTCATTGATTGAAATGCAAGTGGAACAGCACCAGCTTCTTCAAATAATTTTAGGTCACGTTGAAGTTTTTCATTCTAAATTTAAAAAGAATAAATTTTAAGTATTTTCGTTTTTTTAAAAAATAATAAAAAATAATTTGTTTTCTTTCACGAACTTGTTCAAGAGCTAATTTAAGATTAACATCAGATTTGGTTTTTTCATGTCTAGCATTATACAGTTCATCACGTAATTCAGCAATACGACCAAGTAATTTATCATTTTCACTTTTAAGCATCATTACACCATCGTATCGACCAGTAAGTGATTGACTTTCGAGAACCTAAATATAAAAAAACAAGAATTATTTAATTTAAAAAAAAAAGATAGGCTTTTTTTGTGTTTACTTGAAGCATTTTATCTAATGATGGACATTGAATAACATAAGATGATGATTGATCACCACTTGCTGCTCGTTGAAAACGTTTTTGTTTTAATTGTTCATCAATTTCTTTTAAACCTTGTTCAAGACCATGAATTTCAGTAATTAATGCACGATTTTCATTGGTTTTTTCGATAAGTTCACGACGAAGTTGATCAATATTTGCATCAGAAGCTTTTAATTGTTGATCATAATCATTACGTGCTATACGGATAGCATCATCAGCCGTTGTACCACTTGGTCGTGGTATACCATTATCATCAATCCATACAGAATCACCAGCAAGACCTAATTCAGCTGCTCGTACACCTGCTTGACGAGCTAATTGACGACAATTTTGTTTTAATTTTAATCGTTCTTCTTCAAGACGTTCAATCTATGAAACGATTAAGAATATTTTATAAAAGAAAATTTTGACCATTAAAATATTTCTAATTAATAAACTGTAATTTCAAAAATGATCTGATGTTCTTTTTTATAATTCATTACCTCAACAGTTAACAGAAAATCTATTTTTTGTTCATCTTAAGAAAAAACTATAATACACTCATTTATAAATATATTTTAAAAACACAGGAGGCAATTAATCAATAGTTTTTTTTAGTATTTAGTTATATACTTCGATGCTCTAGGGGTCTTGTCATATAGAGATAGAGCCCGAGAGTTGGTTCTGGACTCTGTAGGCGCTAGTCATCTGAGAAATGTGTAGAGTACACTAGTCACCGAATAGAAAAAAATTAAAAAAAAAGTATCTTGTATCTTCAGGGTGACTGTACAATTCTGATTATAAAATTTTATTGAGTATCGAAGTATGGTTCAACTGAGTCGAAGAATTTAAGATCTGACGAGTTCTACATAGAAATGATAACCATTTCGTCAGGATGTTATGTATACTATACATTATTTTAAAACGGTCATTTATATTTGTTTAAAACATAAATAATCATTTGACGTTAGATAGAGAATTCTATTTGTATCAATAATTGAACTATTGTCAATCAAATTGTCGAACATTGTTATACTTCAACTACTGTTAGAAAAGATTTCGTGCAATGTCTGTGGGATTTAAGTATGAAATATAATCGAACTGCTTACATTGTAAATAAGGAATGTCAACAACATTTGTTTCGACTTGTAAACTACTATCTGCTATTAATGGATGTTCATGATAAAAGATGTTAACCGTTAAATGTTATAATGACTAAGAAAGAAGGACAAATGACAAGTGTCTGCAATATAGTCGTGTTTTATACTGATCCTGTAGAAGATTTCGATTTCGAGTGTATATGTGGCGCGGTGATTAAGGAGGAAGCCACAATACTAAGAAGTCTACTGAATAATTCATATACTCATAAAAATAAATTCCCTATAAGATGACTTATTTGCTTTAGTTATCGGACTCTCGATAATAAAAAGAAAAGCATCAGTGATTTCATATTTTGTTCAAACTAAATATTATGATTCTACCAATTTCATGAGTTTTATTTTCTCACTTCTTTTTGTAAAACTTGTACAACAGCTTGATTTGCTTCAGTACGAGTCATTCTTGCTGTTTTAAGTTGTTCAACTGTCATTGGTGTTCGAGGATCCATACCTAATTTTGCTCGTAATTCTTCATTTTCATCTGTTACTTCATGAACAGTAAGTTCATTTCGTGATGCATATTGTGCTAAATCTTCTATTTGTCGATCTTTTAATTTTAATTGTTCTTTTAATTGACGTATTTCGTGTACAGCATCTCGTAACTCGTAATTATTATCCAAGAATGCTTTTAATTGTTTATCAAGATCATGTAAACGAGTATCACGTTCGGCTAATTCTTTTTCATAATCATTTACTTGTTTTTTTAAACGACTTGTTTCAAGTGCTTGTGACCGATTTGCTATCGCTGTTGGATCATTTGATGCTTTTAACAGATAAAAAAAAATAGTATTAATTATATTGATAATCAAATTACAACTTAATTATCCAGTTATATTTTTATACGTAAAATTTTAATATCTCGAGTTCGTCTCAATCAATCTTTCATGTTTTATTTTCAGATTAGGCTTCTCTAATAAGTGCTCACTACTACACAAAAAAGAAATAATGAATTTATTTCAAACCAATCTTGAAATATTGTGAGAACAAAGTTTTATAGAAAGATTTGTACTACTATTTATTGTTAAAAAACATCGTATAATCTATTTGTTCTTTTGACAAATTTATACTCAACAGTCTACACTTTTCGAAAATGAGATCGATAGATTTTTCACCGTGACTTTTACTATACTTTTTTTGAATATCAGATGTAAATTCATTCCTTAACTTTCTGTCATACGACATTGAAAATAATTCTGGGACTGAAGAATCCATTTAAAAATGATCAGGACGATTTTGAATGAAAGCAGTAAATAGGATATAAAACTTAAGAAAATAAGACAATTGTATTACTTCTTGCTTATAAAAAAACTGTGAAACAAGACTTGAAAATGTAATTGTCACACTAAATGTCATGCGAGATTTTTTCATTTTGTCTAATGTATAACTCTATTAAAGTCTGGTAGTTTGCGATGAAAATTTCATCATTTTATCTATTCATCAGGTCAACTATCACTGAAAATGTCAGCGTCAGAAATCTTATAGTTCATGGGAAAAAGAAACGTTAGTGTCAATATGTTACGTGGAATTACGAAATATATAACATTTCACAACTGAGGATGGAAACCCATTGAACTGATAATTTCCGTTTGAGCTCGTTTCTTTTTCATAGATACGTTTCATATTGTAAATATAACTCCTAAAATTTTTCCTGCCAGTAGACCTCTCTTCTCGAGTTATGATCATTCTACTGAAGTGTTAGTCTGTTACAGTATATCCCGTGCAAAATCATAACAAGGAGTTTTAGCTTGAAAGTCTACCTAACAGTGGCTGACATGGTCTTTATAATATCCTAAAAATTATAGCACAGATGAATTTTTTCCTTCCGAGATAACACGTTTGCAAACAAACGTTCGTTCCACTTAAGAGCTCCCAAAATAGCCTAATTTTTAGGCATATGGTATTTTAAGAAGAAATCATTCTTTTGGGCTAAAACTTTCAGAGTATTATAAAAACCATGAGATCTATTGTTGAGAAGAATTTTAGGTAAAAAATTCTCTTTATGGCTTTTCTTGTGATACTTTGTAACAGACTGAACGTTCAGTAAAGTGGCCATAACTTGAGAAGAAAGACCAGATGGTCCAAGCTCTACTAGGCTTTTTTTATCTACATCACTAGTCTTACCTATGACCAGAAATATAAACTCAAAATAGAAGTACCTCTGCAGACTACGTATATTTCCTCATTTATGCATAATGCTGTGTCTAGTAATGGACGTACACAGTACGTATAAATTAATGAAGCATCTTTTATGGAAGTCATTTTGTGCAAATAATGTCACACCATGAATATATAGCATACCAATACACTATTAGATTCATGCAGTTGAGCTTTATCAAATATTGACTCCCAATCATGTTTGAGTTACACAAATAAAATTCTTGGTACATTCTAATCTGTTTATGAAAACTCGTATTTCGATATATACGAAAAAAAAGTCGTATTCAGCTATTTTTGATAGGTTTTCCATGATTCTCGTGTATTACGGTTATACTTACAGTGGTAGTCGGCAAATTTACCTCTTTTTCTCCTCTCATATAGGACAATCACGCGCACTAGCTCCTCAGCTTTAAAATCGAAAATTATTTTCGCTCGTTTTTATTTCTCAATATAGCACAATAAAATTACAGGTCATTCATATATTAAATTTAATAGTCTATGTACCTGTATAATCACTTCGCATTCGATCAAGAGCATCAGTTTGTTTGATTAAATCATTGGTTGCTTCTTCGACTTTTCTTTTTAACATTAATATTTGTTGATCTTTTTCAGCAACTGCCTAAGATTTCATTTCATAATGATGACAAAATATTTAGAAAATATTTAAGTTGATTTCTATTTTGTTTACTTTATTTAAAGCAGTAACATCAGCTTTTTGATCGTCCATTGAATAAATTTGTAATTTATCATGTAGACTAATTAGTTTTCGTTTCAGATCATCGATTTCATCATCTTTTGCTTTAAAAACATCCTTAAAATAGATCATTTCTCCCTAAGTAAATGAAAAAGAAAAATAAAGAAAACATACTTTCCATTGTTTAACACGGTCTTCGACAGCTTTCATAATGACATCATCGTCATCACCAGAAACCATGACATTTTGACTTTCTAATAAATTAATACGTTGTCTTAACTCTTGATTTTCTTGTTCTTTCTCATTGAGAAGTTCCTGAAAAAGAACATTCCTTATTTCGAATCATATCTTTTTTTGATTTCGAAAAAAAAAACAATTATTTGACTGAGAGTATACGAACATAATTGTATTCTTGACATTAATGAAATGAATTCCTTTTAACTAAATTTTAGAATTATAAAACATTGACGATCTTCTTCATGATTAGAATGAACATAAAGCTTTTTTTCGTTCTAATCGAGGAATGAGATATATTTTATGAAAACAGATAGTAAAACAATATTCTTTTACTACATTTTCTAGAAAAAAAATTTGCCATGAATGTAAGACTGTTACTGCTTTTGTACCTAAAAAAGATGAACACAAAATTTTCACCCGGGACTAATATCGATTGCGTTGTAATCATGTTCAAACTTGGATACTAACAACCATATGATTTTTTGAACACCAATATTTTATAGAGAAAATATATCTTTTTTCCTGAGAAAAATTCATTTCTATAATCGGTACTAGAAAGTCACGTCAACATCACTTTTTATTACTACTTAAATTGATATTAAAGTAATTGTAATATCGAACAGAATTAAATGCAGTCCCACGAAACTGAGGTTTTTCTCTGTTTGAATACATACCTATATCCTAATTTTGTGGAAATAAAACGATACTCGGAAACAAGGAAGAGAAAAAAAAAACTATGTATATAGAGCATTACAAAATGTTTTTTGTCCAACCCTACTAAAAGTCGTATATTGAGGTCAAGTATTCTGCTATAATGCATAAACATATTTAGGATTGCTTGAAGCATGTTAGACCTCTAGGTCCTGTACAACGCCTTATTCTTACAGTTCTTTCAGATCAGTCACATTTTGTTTTTTTAAATAACTCACAAGAACAGTGTCGAACGATGAATTAAAGTGAACAAAACATTGGTTCAATATACACGAAAAATCATACTCTTCTGGTAGAAGTATGGTGGAAACGAAAAGCTTCTCATCAAATAATTCCTAATAAGTTTTATGAATTTCAAGCGAGGAAATTCAAATTGACCGTTCAGGTTATCCTTCAGCTACTATTTACTTAGAAACAATTGATGTTGTCTCGAACAATAATTGAAGATGATTTCTTATTGGACATACGAATTAATAATAGATATCCTAAGCAAATTTTGCTAGTAACTATTACAATTATTCATATTCATGTAAAGTTATTGAAGAGATTTGGAATGACCAATTTCAATTTTGTATTCAACACTATCACTAGTGACTGATCATAGTTATATTCTTAGAATAAAATAAGAAGGACAGTCGAAAATTAAAATGTAATAAAACAACTCAAGAGCAGCCAAAGTTCATCGAAACAATAGTTCAGATAGGTTTATCTCATCATTTTTTTTCTATAAAACATAGCCTGAAGAAGCCCATACCATTAAAATGTAGTAGGCAAGAGCTCGTCTGTTAACAGCTGCCTCACGTAAGTTTTTAAACTACATTAAAAAGAGAAATAAAAGATCGGTCTTAGAAATGTGTCGGATGCACTAGTCAACAAATATAGAATGTCGGAGAAAAGTATTTCTTATCTTTTGAATGACTATCCAAATTCGATTCTAAAATTTCATTAAGAGTATGAAAGTACTGTTCGACCGGGTCCGAAAACTTTGGATCCAGCAGACTCTAGTTTTTACTAGAAAAATGAGATACTACGGACATTCTGAGTTCTCAAAGAATTTTCCGCCCAAATTCATATGGAAGGATATGCCGATCGAGTATATTCTGCAGATCTATACTCATGTGACTTCGTTGAGCTGCTTAAACGGACATATTAACTACAAAAATTCAGACACTTTTGAAGCAGCCTTAGTAGTCTTTCATTTCAAAAAATAACACTAGAATCTGCCTTTAAATATTTCTTGAAAGGAATAGCAAAAAAACTAGCGTAGTAGTCCATTGATTTAATTAAAAATAAAATGTTTTATATTGATTAATTTGTACTAAGTTGTCATTGTTGATGTCTTACATTCATTATTATTTTCATATTTCATATATTAAACTCTATTCATAAGGACTAGTTCTTCATTACAGAAAAATAAATCGTATTAAGGAATAATATAAATTTCAACAAGTTTGAATTTGCATATTGAAATATAGTTTACATGTCAAGAAATCGCATCTAATTGAACATCTTTTCGATTATTCTTGCTAAAAGAAAGTAACAAGTTTTTTTGACATATTAAAAATCAATGAAAAGTTTTTTGAAATCAGTTCAACAGCTTATAGTTATAACGTAAGATCTTACATGTGAGTATTATATTTTCTACATACTGTTTTATGTTTATTATCAGTTGATAATTTGTTAATATGATCAGCCTCTTCTTTTTCTTTTCGTTGAAGATCAGTTAGGTCTTTTCTTAACTTTTGATTATCTTCAAAGAAATTCTAAAATAAACATTTACTTTTTTTTAAAAGAAATGAAAAAAAAGAATCGACCTACATTATTTTCATCCAAAAGCTCACTAAGTTCTTTTTCCACAGCTCGTATACGTTGTGTTCGTTCAACATCATCAGGTTTTACTTGACTTGAAGCGTTCAATGCTGATACAAGTTTTTGTAAATCTTCCGATGTTTTCCTGAGATTATCTCTCTAAAAAGAAACCATTTAAGAATAATAATAATCATAATGATAAATTTTCTTTCAAACCTCATTTTGTAAATCTCGAACTTTCGCTTCACTTTTTTTAAGTTCATCACGAATTTGTCCTAGTTCGCCGAATTCATTTTCATATTGTTTTTTATATTCTTCTGCTTGGTTTTCAGTAAGAAGCAAGCGACGTTCAAGATCACTTATTCGATCTTTTAAAAATGTATCCGCCTAAAATAATTTTATAGAATTACAAAAAGCAAAGAAGAACAAAAACTCAATCATTTACCTCTTTAGCGTTTGCAAACGATGTCTTTTTTAATTTTTCATCTGCACAGAAATAAATCAATCAATAGCTTTTTAAAAATGTTTTAAACAAAGTTCATTTACTCTCTTGTCCAAGTTTGACTAAAGTTTCCCAATACTCCACTTTTTGCTCTCGAAATAACTAAATATATCGGAAAAAATCAAATAAAATTGTTTTTTTTTGTGTTTCTTACGTCAGTAAATCGTTGACCAAGTCGTAATGCATGTCGTAAATCATCAATATTATTAAGTTCATCTGCATTAAGCTAAAAAATTGTTTTATCAAATGTTTTTAAAGTCAAATATTTTTTGTAGCAAAAAATTCTTACTTTTATATATAATTCACCAAGTTGTTCATTTTTCTCATCCTCTACTTGATTCTCCACATGAATATCAGTCGGTCTTATATTCAATAAACTTTGCCAATTTTGAGCCAATGCAGCCATATTACAGTCTACAATGTAAACAAAACAGCAATCTTATGAAATTTTCAATGATAATTATTGTTCTAAATTTAATAATGTTGATTTCATATTAAGTACAAGAAAAGGACTATCATTAACAAATTTTTGCTTCCATTCTTTAAATATAAACAAAAAATTATATTTAGAAAATAGTCGACGATTTTCTGTTAATTCTGAAAGTTTTTCGAATAAAATTCCTAGTTTTTCCATTGTTTTTAAATCAAATGTTGGTGTAAGTGGAAGATGTATATTGCTTGAATTTGCTGATGAACCAAGACCATCATTACATTGTTGGGTTAATTGATAAAATAAATGAAACCATGTATCATTACTTAATTGTTTTAGAAAAGGACGAAGTGATTTTGAATCAGTACAAAGAAGTAGAAGTAAATCGATTGTATCGAATATTACTAAACAAAAATACAATCAAAATATTTTATGCAATATACTTTTTTTAAGCATCAATAAAAGCAAGTATATTACTGCACTACATGGGTTAGCTAGAATTTCATCAATGGCGAAAGTAGGATGAACTTTCTCAAACTCTCTCATAATAATACTAATATAGGATAGTTGTGAGAGCTGAATTGAATATTATTAGAATATACATATCATATCTTATACTCATTTATTGAGTCAATAGAAATTCTTTTATTGCATATTTAGTTCATACTTTAATTGGTGAAATTTCCGAATCCCACTCCATAGTGTCCAGATGGACGATATAGTGTTGATGAATCTGCTTTGATTCTATTAGAAGTGGTGTGATCTTTTAAGATAGCTATTATTCGTATGCAATAATTGTTAACCTAAAAAGTGCAGTACGAAAAAGGACTACTAAGAGATGTTCGTTTAGTCCACTTGTAACTGATCAATGTTTCTTCGTAAATGCTGCTATTTTATTGACATTTCTATTAAGTGTAAATTCTAAGCACTATGTCATCCTGATCGGCACTATGTTTTAACGAAAATACACGTCGGTAAGCACTATGGAGTGTACCATATATTCACAGATACAAGGGTTTTTATAAGAAGTATTAAAAGGACTTTGGGACCGGTTCGAAAATTTCTTAGGTCCAAATTTATGATCTTTCATATCATTGCATAATCAGTTTTCAATACTTTTGATTTTGTAAATGGCAAGAATATTGCTTGTATTTTTTTAATTTTGCAAGTAAATATTATAAATTAAGTTTTATTTACTAGCCAATTTAATCTTAAGAATTTTTCTCGCACAAGTAATTCAGTTCAAAATCAACAAAAATCAAATAAAAGAATAGTTAAATGTAGATTGGGACTAGATATATGCAAGAAAATTTGTGCTCTCGGTTATAGAATCGAATAGATGAAGAAAAACTTAGGTGACAAATCTTCAAGAGAAATATTTTCTTTATAAAAGTAAGATTGTTTCTGAAAAACTATACAATTATTGATGTCCACGATAGAGCGTAGTTTCAATGTAATCAAGACTGATCTCGATGGCGAAGTTTGTGTTCGTTCTCTCAGGATACAAAAATAACGCCAGAGTTACAGTAGCCTTATTTTGAAGAAAAAATTGAAGTCCCATATTCACCTTTTGATTCAGACATGTTTAGAGATTATTTTATATGAATAGATGTTTAACTATAAAAATCAAAATGTCAAAACTTAGAAAGCTTTGATGGATAACTTTTTAGAAGTTTTGATGAATAAAATATGGTACGACACATATACATACAACATAGCAGTGAATATGAGATCTGTGACCAAAAAAAAACTTAGGTTTTTATTTTAATTGAAGCTCAGAAAGTACAAAATTAATCGTACATCTAATATGTGATCTCCTTTTCCTGATCTGTCGAAATATTTAATGGATGGAGTAGAGTTTGTTAGCAAATTCTAGTTTATGGTTCATAGTTTATCCGTGCCAAGTTTTATTTCTTTTCGTTATGATATTATTGTTTTAGCTATGAAATTATGTAAAGTAATATCCTCTGAATGGACTAAAGTTCGATCATGCATATAATGCAAAAATAGACAGATTTTACAATAAAGAATTGTGCTCTCTACGGTTTCGAAAAAGACAAGCATCATACGTAATGTTTTAACAAAGTTGTATTCATTGCAATAACCAAAGTACTATTGAATTTTTAACCCGCTCTTGTCTCACATCCGCAGAGATGTTCTTAGGTGGCCAGGATCGGGAAAGGCAGGATTCATAATCTAGGATGTTGATAAGAAGTTTTTTACTAAAGTTGGCCATACTTTGAGAAAGAGAGGTACACGCACAAAGTCTACACATGTGCGCTCATGCGCATGGAGGTAAATTTTCGGAAACTTATTGATTATAGAAGTTTTTTCAATGCATGAGAAAATAGGGAAAATATTTTTTTTGTGAAAATAAGGACACAAAATTCATTCCTAGACTGTATGATTTATTTGCCCATAGAGACTAGGGCAACTTTTTCTTGTTTATTCTACTATTCAATACATGTCTCTTTCAACATGCTAGTCTCCGACTTTGGTTATGCTAAAATGTATCCAAAAGAACATGTTTCAAGACTACCACAATTACTTGATGAGTGATAAAATTGAATCATTTTTATATAAAACTTTTTGAGTATAGTAGTTTTTTTTTGTTTAAAAATATACACGCATTTGTTCAAAATTACGCGATTTCTTTCATTTTGACAGCAAAAAAAGTTTTGGAAGGATTTTTCTTCGGCGGAACAAACTTTTCACTTTAGCGGCATATTTTGCACCTCTGAGAAGAGGCTTTGCATGTGACTAGAGGTGTTACTTTGTGTCCCGTTCCTGAGAATGCATAATCGTCTTAAATAAATGGATACGCAAAAATATATAAACACCCTAATGCATTCAATAGCTGCTGAGAAAATACAGTGTGAGATACATTCTCGTTCCTTGAGAACGGGATACTGACATCTCTTAAATGTGACGGCATAACCGTCAATGATGTTCTGGTTTGATGCTTGTTATATATGTGCATCGGTTTCTCTCTGTAATTTCCCTCCTTTTTTCTCTCACATTTCCAGCATTCTCTTTGCTTCCCACCTTATCTTTCTGCTAATTGAATATATTGTTATGTCTTATTTCACATTCGAGTCTCATTTCTCTCTTTCTTGTCATTTGCACTGATAATCATCGTGATGCTTGGAATCTTCAATAGTTGCATGTTAGACAGCATTCACGTCATGACAGGAATAAGAGCCTTGAACTTATTTTAAGTAATTAATAAGCAGAAACAAACAACAAAATTCAAGAACTTCGCTGAATAAAAAAAAGAAAACTTTTCAAGATTGAGGGTCACCCATGGATATCTGTATAGAAAATAATTATTGATTCTTACATCGTTTATGATGTGATGGAGGTTTTAACCATCGATAAAGTGCAATAATACCATAATTTGTAACAAAAAGCTCAATAAATGCTTTTGAATTAAGATCTAATCGAAGTTGATTATAACATGCAATAAGATCAATTATTTTATTACATGTTAATAATACAATTAAACAAGCATAAAGTCGAATCAATGGTTCATTATCATCAAAGAGATGTGAACGTTCCTTCTAAGAAAACCAAAGTTTTTGAAAAAAGAAACAATTATTTTGATATCTTTAAAAAACAAACTTGATTTTTGTCACATTTAAGAATTTGTTCACATAATCTTCGATAAGAACATGAATGTAGATGACGTGTTTGGCCACTTGTTGTTGGACATTCAATAGTTATTAATGAAAAATAAACTAATTTAAGATAGGAAAGTATTAAATTTGAATAATTTTTATTTAAACAAAACGATGATTGATCAGCTAGAATACTTAATAATTTTGAATATCGTTCAATTGTATCTGACGATAATAAAGAAGAAGATGGCCATTCAGTTAATGATGTTTGACTAATATCAGATAACCAATTAAATAAGAAAATTAAAGAATCTGTTGAAGCAATACTAGGTGTTTTTGATGTTGTAGTAGCTAGACAAAAAACAAACACATTCATAAATATAAATCTTAAATTGAATTTCTTTTCAAAGAAAGTCTTACGAGAATTTGTTGATGAATGATGTTCAGAACAATGATCATTAATGGATGTATTACCACAACTATTATTATTATTTTCAATTGATTTTGTAGAATCTTCATTTGGATTATTTAAAGAAGGTTTTTTATTCATTTCAATAGTTTTTTCTAATTCTTTAATTTTTTGTTCTGAAATTTGATTTAAACGTATTAAATTTTCTGTACGTTTATCTGCTTGTTTTGTTTTTTCAACTAATTTTTCATTTGTTTCACGTAAATCATTTAAATTACGTTTTAATTCATTATTTTGTTCACGCATTAATTGTAATGTTTCATTTGTTCGTTTAAAATCTTTTGTCATTTGATTTAATTTTTCTTTATAAATATTTATTTCACTATCAAATTTTTCTTTATGTGCTTGCCAACCATGTTCTATAGTTTCACGCATACGTTCTTCCCATTGATTTAATAAAATAGATTTCTTTTTTAAACGTTCATTTTCTTCTGATAAACGTTGACGAATTAATAAAAGTTCATTATAAACTGCTTGAACATTTGGTGATATATAACGTGGTGATGCTAATGTTGTATCAATATCAGCATTCTCTGCTGATGAACTATAAAGAGTTTTGATTTCATCATCTGATGATTGTTCATCACCTGATTGTACAGAAGAAAGTACAGTTTGATTTAAATCTGTATAATTCGTCATATTCGATTAAAATAAATTGGTTGATGAAAAATTATGGCGTCGATATGGTAACGAGATGGATTCTATTTCAATGATTATAGATGGTTTATTAAAACTCCAATCATAAAACAGACAACTTATTTATTATTTTCATTTGAAAAACTTTTTTTTTTTATGTACGAAAAAAAAGGTTATTTAATCTTTGTTACAAAACTTTTATTGTCGATTTGGCAAGTATAATACGAATGTGGTAAAATATGGACTATCTTATT